CTTTCACGTTTTCTTCTGAAAGAAGGTAAACAAACATCGTTCGCCGAAAAAAAGGCATTATTTCAGGGAGAAGTTTGACAAATCTTAGATGTATGTTGGCTTCAGCCAAGCATACGACAAAACTATGGGAGTTGTCGTTCTAGGTATATTCTAGTTCAATGTATTGGAGTTAATGTTCCAATCTTTTAATAGAGTTCACTGGTACCTGCTATTTAAAATTCTCATCGTGCAATGTGACGTCACTAGTTGTGTAAAGCGGTTATTACATAAACTAGAGTATCTTGAGAACGATTAGTGACGCGAACAAACTGTTGTAAAAGGTACACTCTCAATTTGAAAGTTATGTTTAATGAATGTATCATTTCAATAGCACAAGTTTCACGTCATATGCCCTTTGACGAAAGGCAAAAGATGAAATGATAATTAATATGAGCTTGCTCCGTCGCCATCAAGTCAGAAAACAGAATTCAGAGTTGTTACATTGTTTATTAATAATATCAGTCTAATTTAATTTTCAAAATGTGAGCTGACGAAATGTCAAAAAATGTTATGCCAATCATATGATTTTTACCGACGTCTGTTATTCACTGGTTGCAGAATCGACGTTCTCAATATAAACGCCAGAAGAAATTTTACAGTGGTTTTCTACATTGTTCACAGCACTCTTCGCCAAATCAGTATATTTCTACATTACTGCAACGCTAAACGTTATTTTAAGGTATAATTTACGACTTGGTTTAGTCTTAGTTCCGTCATACATAATAAATGTTGTTATGAGGCTTAATTATACAGCTCTTTGTTCAGCAGTTGATTTTAAGGAACATGTTGAGAATAAAGCTAAATAAGGATAGACCTAATAAGAATATCTTATTACTTACATTTTATATTCCTTGTACAATTTCAACATGGACAGTTGCACTTGCACCGCATCAATCAGCGCTACATAACAGCAACACTGCTACATTGTTTTGGATCAAAGCCATCTTTGGGTTTTCTGAAATATCATGAAATGAAGGAGAAAGCTTTTACGAACGATCTACGAATGGTTGTGATGTTAATGACACTTGGATTGTGTTTAAGGAAATAGAGACCATGTGAGCCGTTACGCTGAGTGCTTGCGCTCAACAGCTGTGCGTATCTTGGTGTTCAATGCAAAACTTTGACCAGATGATATATTTAAATAGAGTTTATACCTATAGTTTTACTGTCTACAGTTTGTAGAAAATTTAACTGACTTCTTCAGGGGCGTATGGTCTACTAAGCATAAGCTAAAACATTAAAGGATAACACGACATATTCTTATTTAACAACTTATTTTACGGAAGCACTCTGAAACAATATCAAATTTCCAACAAACAAAGATCTAAAGACTTATTATTATTGGTGAATTTGAAAGACAGTTTAAACTAACCGAAGATCAGCGTAAATGACTAAACTCCAGTCATGTTTGAATAAGACCTAAGAGCATCTCTCGGACAGCGGTTTTGGCTAATGTATAGATTGAGAATAGACATGTTATTAGAGAGCAACTTCTGCTTTCTTGTTCAAGAATACTTTTAGATGCTCAAAAGCATCTATAGAGCCATTTTAGTATGAAATTCAATTTGAACATCTTTAAGGAAAAAGTAAAACCAGCTGCATAGATATGTAAATGACTCTATATATGTAAATAACTCTATATATATCTATAATTCTTGTTAACTTCTTTATTAATCTGAAGATGTCTTGAATCAAGACGAAACGTCACTATTTTAATAAATTTCACAAAACCAAATTGTTTATGACTATGTTTAAAATTAATAGTGATTAGGAAAAACAGTTTAACAATTGCACTATTCTAATGGCAACAAACAGCAATGGTAATTGAAGTTCTTTGTAATCAGATCATGTTTATCTTCAATAATGAGTTAAATAGAGAAATATCATCGTCAAAGAAATGTCCTTGTAATTAGGTAACTTAAGGAGATGCGATTGCCAATTCAATGCAGAATAAGTAATGACTTGCAATTTGTCTTCGAGGAAAACTACTTACAATGCATGACTAATGATTTAGAACCCAATCTTCTAGATGTCTAACTACCTTGACAAGGTGAGGCAAGGACGCCATCATGAAAGGTGGCAAAAAGCAAAAGTCAAAATGAAAAATAAGTTAGAACAAAGTTTAAAAAACCCATCATATTAAACATAGAAACACTGAATTTTTAAGAAATTTTAAGACTTTACAGGTAAACCAGTATTCTTCTTTTGTACCCACGCTAATAGCGTATTTGAATAAAAGCTTGGAGAACTATCAGGCTGGCAGCATATCAATTTTTTTAAGTGCATGGGAAACACTCACCTCTGATAAGGGAATCTTAGAGACAGTGTCTGGACAAAAAATTGAATTTGACACAACCCGATATAAAGAGTCTTACCCAAGCAAAACAGCTACCAGAGGTTGAAATGAACAATATTGATTTAGAAATTAGCAAATTACGCAAAAAAGACGTTTTGCAGATTTCTCACCCTGAATCAGGGGAATTTGTATCTCCAATTTTCACTTGCCCCCAAAAAGACGGTTCTTTTCGCATGATTCTTAATCCATAATCCTTAAACAGGCATGTCAGATATCACCATTTTAAAATGGAGTATGTTTGGTCAGCTATTAGGCTTACGAAATCAAATTGTTTCATGGCATCCATCGATCACAAAGATGCTTACTATTCCGTACCTATTCACCCAGCATATCAAAAATTCCTCAAATTTTGGTGGAGAGGGCAACTATATAAATTTGTCTGTTTTCCTAACGGCCTAGCCATCTGCCCAAGAAAATTTGCAAAACTCCTTAAACCTGTTTTTTTGAATTTACGTCAAAAAGGACATATTTCGGTTGGCTGATACTTGGTGATACTTGGCTGACACATATGCTTCATGTGTTCGGAATATTCAAGATACCATCTTCTTATTTAGTAAAGTAAGGTTTTACGTACATCCGGATAAGTCAGTTTTAGTTCCCTCACAAGTAATTACTTTTTTGGGTTTCCGACTCAAATAAATTCTTATGCGAATATCTGTTACGACAGAACGAGCTGAGAAGATAAACGTATGTGTCATGAGCTGCTACAAGCTTTTCACCCAAAAATGAGGGATGTTTCTCGGGTTTTGGGCACTCTCACTTCGAGTCTCCCAGGCGTAATGTACGGTCAGTTGCATTATCGCTGGCTGGAAATGGATGAAAGCGATGCCCTTAAGTTAAACCGGGGTAATTTTGACAAGACAATGACCCTGTCTTCAGCGGCCAATTCTTTCAAGAAACTATTATATAAACCAAAGTTATTACAATAAATACCTGTCCTGGGGATAACCACTACTGGATTCAGAAAGATGAACCTGCCAATGTCGACTATCGACGATTTTCTATTACTTTGTTTTATGTACACGTCCCACACTGCAACTTGTATACAACCAAATGATGACAATATCTAATTTGCAATACTTTAAAAAACGATCGGGTTAACGCAGCATGTACCAATATTGACCTCATTTCATGCCGAAAAGTCAGCATGTCAGTGCTAGCCCACGTAGCCATTTAGTTTGTTTGACACATACTCTCTGTAGCGTTGTTATTATAAAATAAAACACAATCCGAGAAAGGATCATTTTCATTTTGTCTGATGATGGTTTTGAAATAAAAATTTGTATTAAAGGACAATTTTCTTTGTAGCAACATTTCAGTTCATATTTTTAATCAGTTTTTATGCAATTCCACTTGTAAAGGGAAAAGTCGTAGTTGAATCCGACGTTGAATCGTAATATCATAACGAGTAGCTCAAAAATTCACCTTCCTTGTCGACAAAAAACGTATCTTTTCAGTGTTTTCTCAATCTTTTTTTGTCATTAAAATCATGAAACAAAAAATAATGCTACTTACATGAGCATAAAACGTATAAAATATGAATAATTAAATATGTTAATAATACATTATTGCAACTAAGCCTTTGGTTTTCTTAACTGCAACTTTAATAATATAATTTCTTTTAAAAGACGAAAACCTTCTTTGATTTTCTTTCTCTCTCAGGATGTCTCTTGGATGAAATGACGAGATACCAACTACCTCTGCAAGCCAAACTACCTCAAATTCACCAGACCCAGGTTTATTTACTACATAAAACATCAATGTTATCAACAAATTTATCATTTAGTCAAGAAAAGTTAAATACCTACGTTTTTAGCTTAAGGCAATCTCCATTACTTAAAGCTATAGAGAAAAATATCAGTAAGTAATCCCATGGATACATCTCTCATCAATTTTTTATTCACCGCAATCGTCAAATGCAGGATAATTTTACAAGCCTTGTAAATTAATGCAGACAAGGCTTGTAAAATTTGAGTTCTTACCAAAAATTATCCTGCATTTGAACCGGACGAATGCGGTGAATAAAAAAAAATTGATGAGAGAAATGTATCCATGGGATTACTTACTGAATTTTATTTTTTCTCTAGGAAACTCCCACTCATGTAAAAATGGAAGCTTTTGTATTTGTTCGTGTATGTCTCCATTCATATCAATCTTTCTAATGTAGTCAGGCAATGGAGGATAAAAAGAAGATAAAAACCACCGTAAATATTTTTCCTTTTGTAAAATACATAAGATGTGATCGCCAAAATGACGAGTGTGAGGACGCCAGTAGATATGACAAATATCAACATTCGTCGACTGTTGTATATTGGCAATGTTTACTACATAAATAGAAAAAATACTTTATGGCTGAGTCACGTGTATGAATCATTCATTTCGAGAGTACTGAAGTTTTGTAAAAAAATAGTTTTTGATGCTGTTGAAGAGTTGCAACTTTTATCTTGCCAATCATACTGCTTATAGACAAATTCAACGACCTAAAAATATAATCTGCAAGCTGTCAACAAAACGCAAGATTGATATATAAAATAAATTTCATGATCATCGGGGGCTCTGGTAAATATAAGCATAAGTACGTTAATACATGCTTTTATTTAAGCGATTTTTGCATTTAGCTTCTTTAGTAAAGATAAAAACAACAACAATATATTTTTGCCATGATTGATGTAAGATGATATCTAATTTTATACATAAAAATTATAAATATGGTGATAGAATGTAGGTTGGAGTGCAATTAGGTATTGGTGATCAGTTGTGACAGATGAAAAGCTTAGATTGTAGATTTTTTAATATGTTGCGATTTGCTTATTCTTTGTCAGTGAAACACAATCATTAAAATAGTCATAGTGCAGATTATATTGTTGGACGACCTCAAATTCTGCGACATTGATAAAGAAGACTTGTCTGTGTGATTGTTGTTTTTGACAACATTAGTTTTTGTTGACATATCCCTGACGACGTTTATTGTTGGCGATATAGCTGTTCCACCTGTATTGCATGCACTGCAGCGGTACCTGCCCTCATTTTGTACTTTTAAAGAATAGTTGAATGAAATGTATTTCCAATGTTTGTCGTCGTAGCAGGTATCAGATATGCAGATGAACCATTTGAAGGTTACTTCTTTTGGGTAATGTCTCTGGTTTAATGTACATTTCAACACCGAAAATCCTTTCTTCAAAACTATATTTTCGTTTCAAATTTCAATGCTAGGCTTAACTAAAAATTTAAAAAACTGAATATAAAAAACTAAAACACACCTTAAAATTTTAATTTCATTTACCTCAAATACTTTTTCGAACAGGACTAACCGAGAATTTGTATTGAAATATTCTTGATCTCATATCCTTTCATATTGCTTACATTGATCTTGTAGGTTATATTATCATCAGGGAATCTGACAGACTTTACTTCAAATTTGTTTCTTGTAATTTTTTTTCCGTCATGATATTTGCAATGTTGCTCAGCCGCAGAACAACTTGTTTAAATCTGCTCGTTGGATCCATCATATTTTAAACGCCACCAAAAGATGTCGGCAGCAGGATAAGACGTTACGTTGTAGAAACGTCAAATTCTTTCCTTCATCAAATGAGAACACCTCTGTGTCGTTTTCAATATAAATTTTTGGTTTGATCAATTCTAGATTGGAGTAGGTTTTATGAAAAAATGCATTCAACAAACAAAGCTTAAACTAAAACTTTTGCAAAGCCTATACATACAAACTTAAAAAAAACATTTATTGTTCTTTTCTTTCATTAAGTTTTGTTTTTTGTCATCCTATAACAATGACTATAACACGATGAAAAGCTGTAAAGTGTATAGTTTTTTTCTTAATAAAGCCCTGTTCGATTATAAATTTCTTCTTCGTAAACTTTTAAGTGTTTATTCACTTTTAAAACTTTTTCACAAAACTTGCAGGCTTTGCTGCTGTATTGAATATATTTTTTTATCAATCACTGCTTTTGTTTAATTATAACCATGTTTGCATCATGATTTTGAGCATGTATGACATTATATGTGCAAGATAAGACAGTCACATGCGTTCATGATTTGATGTGATTGTTTAAAATTAAGAATGACATGTGGTAAACTAAGTCCTCATGAAAAATTAAGTTATTACTCTAGCTTTAGCCATAATAATAAGTTTTGATAAGACTTTATATTTATGCATAGAGAATGCAAGTATATTAATAACATTAGCAAAGGGGTATCACAAGAAAGACAAATAACATTGAAATGCCCGTATTTTCTATAACATACATTTTGTATCATTCGTACAATTCTTTGATGCATTCCTACGGCTGTCAGTCAACACAACATATAACAGCAACACTGCAACTTTATTTCGAATCGATGCCATCTTTTAGATATTCTGAAATGGTTTGGAAAGAACGAATGATATTTAAAATAGAGACCAAGCAAATCCTTGTGGGTTGGAGGTGCAAATATTAGAATGCTGTTAAACCGTTGATGTATATTGTGCGTGCAGCGTTTATATATAGTAAGTAAAATCTGCCAAGATATGCAACACAGACACGTTTTAATCCAGTGGCGTAGCCAGACACGAACTTATGGAGGGGCATATTTTCAAACACCAAAAGCATGAGCCTTAATAGGGGCATGCTCCGCTTAGAAACTTTTAAATCTAATGTCCCTCTGTTGCAATTTCCAGTGTGATTTCTGAAAGTTATTTGTTACTGAAAAGCATTATTTTTATGTTTAATTATACAAAGCAACTGTTAAAAGTACTTCGAATAAGGACGACTTTCAAAGTAATTAGAGCGTTACAGACGTAAATTTAATACCTTAAATAGCACTACTTTTATCAGAATCTTGAAGACGTCTATAACACGTGGTATTTTCATGCTAAATTCATTCTTTTTGGTGAATATGTCAATAGAATGTTCTACTGGGATTACGCGAATAAATACTCAAACGAAAGTGAGTACGCTTAGTAATACCTGAAGACATTTAGTTCTACTGTTAGACTTATAGGTACTCAACTATGTTCGTATCGCCCCTCCCATTCCATTCGCCCTACTTCTAGGGCACTACGTCTGTTCTTTGGAGGAGTTAAGCCTTCCCTTTGTCTATGCCCCTGGATGAACCTAGAAAATCCTTTGACCATGCATTCTTGTATTAGAAACTGTAGCCACGGAGATACTGTTTAACGCTAATACAAAATATATAAACAATAAAGCTACCACAAAGTCCATTCATAATAACACAAAACTTGGTTCACATGTTATGAAATGTTAAATCTGCCCAAAGTAGCTAATGCTTGTTGTCTTTAATCAAAATACGCAAAGCACATGCAAAGTATAGATAGTCATCAGAATTAGCATGAAAATACCGCGAATATTTTCTTAGATATATGTCTAATAACCATGTGTCACAAACATGTGTGATTCTACAAGATATGAGTATTAACAACCATGAAAAGCAGACAACTTCAGATAATGCAGAATAAAAAAAAATTTCGTTTACTTGAATTTCAATCTGTTTTATGAAATCTGGTTCTGGAATATGAATAATGGAGTCTGCATGGAATCTGTTTTTCTTTTACATAAGAATTACTGTTGCGTGCACATACAAAATATATGTTCATTCACTCAAACTTGGCAAAAACTGGACAGTAAAAAAATGCTGCGCGCAAAATACTACAACAAAACATTTGGCAAACACTCCAGCTTCACATACGTGCTGGAAAAATTTAAAAATACAATGTTTGCATCCGTATAATAGTTAAAATTTCTTACTCCCAGACTCTCAGCTCGAAAGGCTCGAAAGCACTATGTTGCTTGATATATTGTTTTAGTTAGCACGCCAAAGATAACGTCCACATGAAAAACTTAATCAATTTTGTTTCTTGAGAAGCTAGGACCTTTGCGTGTCTATATTATGCCAATTCTATACGTCAGATGAATAGAACTTCAAGGCTTTCATCAAAATCATCATCATCATTATTATTAAAATGTAGCTTTTGATGTAGACGACAAGAATGTGAAGTAAGATGTAGTTTTCATTTGATGTAGACAAGGATGCAGACAAAGATGTAGCTTTCGGTGCAGACAAGGATGAAGACAAAGATGTAGTTTTCGATGTAGACAAAGATGTAGATTTTGATGAAGAGAAAGATGTAGACAAAGATATAACTTTTGATAAATTCAGAACATTATTAAATATTTCACTTTTATCAAAATCTTTTAATAAAGCGTTTCGCAGGCCTGCCACCAAGATATAGACTCTAAACGTGATTTTTATTTTATTTGAATGACGTAAAATTTATGTATAAGTGTTACCTAAAACGTTATACAGTTTAATGCACATATCTTTATACAGTAGATTGTATATATCTTTATATTGTACAATGTACATATCATTATACAGTACAATGTTTATATCTTTATACAGTACAATGTATGTATCTTTATGAGCATGGAAACAGCAATTTCCAACGCCCATGAGACAGAAAATATCCTCAAGAAAATATTTTTTAAAGTTTAGTTTTTTTGGGCTTGACGGAAACTGAGAACACTCTTAATGTATTCAGTGCTTACTCCTAATGTTCTAAAATAATATTTATATTTTAAAATTTTTGTGACTTAGTCACCCGACCAAAGAAATTTTGTGACTTTATCACGTGACCGTTAACAAAGATTGACTGCTTAAAATGGGTCTACAGTATGGCAATTCTTTGTTTAATGACCAAAGCAATTAAAAGAGTTGCAATCATCCTCACATCCACCGCCACAGGAGAGTAGCTATGCTTACCAGTTTCTAATTACTGTGCTTAAGTTTGAAAAACAAGTTACAAAAACCAAGATGCCCTTCATTGAGGGAAAAACAGCATTTAGTAAGGCGTATGGTATATTTAACTGTGCATTTGTAATGTAAACAAGCACAATCAAAGCTCAATAAAGCGTAAGTGAAGTTCGATAAATGTACGAGTTGTTACGACACGTACCAATATTGACCCCACTTCTTGTCAATATGTTATCTTTCAACAACGCCTGTGTCAGCACGTAGTTATCATACTGTATGAATTAATGCTATATTTGAAAAAAATAGCTATGAACAAATTTTAGTTCAAGGACGTTGAATATTTGAGTGGAGCTCAAAACTTGATGTAGTTTTAACAATAAAGACCATATTTTATGAGCTATATATACGCCATGAAATTTAAATTATGAATTTCAAATTCCAGATATTTTCATGTTTTGGATTATGCACTAGTTGGTGGTGAAATTGTTAGTTCTTATAAAGGTGAATGTTTCAAACTGTCAAATAAATGTTACACAGTTTTTTACAAATTTAAGCATGTTGAATTGTGCTACAATCGTTACAATAACGACATTTGACGTGTATACATAATCGTTACATCAATAGTTGGAGTTCAGTCAGTTCATTCCAATACCACTAAGTAAACGAAGAGCTATTTATTTGATCAGAAGAATCTGGGCTAGCTACGAAATACAAAATAAAACAAATTCCAAAAGTCGTCGTCTTGTTTTCTTGAAACTCGACCAAGATAAAAAAAACAAGTAATATGCCAAAGACATTGTCATGTCGTGGAATGGTGTCGGCAATTATTCTCAGAAGAAGACTACTCCAAAAGTAAAATCGCTACAGTGAAGTGAGTGAAAAACACGTCAGAGACTGGTTAAAAATTCAGAACAAAAATCAGTGACAGTGGCATGTAGTGGCGGATCCAAACTACGTCAAAATATATCTATATCTCTATAACTATATCTCCATTCATATCAATCTTTTCTATGTAGTCAGGCAATGGAGGATAAGAAAGGAGATAAAAAGCACCGTAAATTTTCTTCCTTTTGTACAATACATAAGAAGTAATGACCAAAATGACAAGAGTGAGGACGCCTATAGGTATGACCAACATCATCATTGTTTTCTTCTGTCCATTGGTTGTACCTTTTGGTTCGGATTCTTTTGTAACTGTTGTTATTGGTGATGTATCTATTTCACCGCTATTGTTGGCAGTACAGCGATACCTGCCCTCCTTTACTGTTAAAGAATAGTTTGATGAAATATATTCCATCTCGTTCTTATGATCATGACAGATATGAGATTGGCACTTGTACCATTTGAAGGTTATTTCTTGTAGGTCAAATTTCTTCTTCAACGTACAGTTTAGGACCGAAAATCCTTTTTAAAAATCTTTTAGTGTCTTTAATGTCAATTTCAGGTACAACTGAAAAATAAATGTAAAAACTAAAACTGATCTTTATATTATGCATGACTCAAGCTTAATCTTTGAGTATGATACATTTCAAAACAACCTAAATAGCTATGTTTTTGGTATTTTTCTTTGGAATTTCGAAACCGTTATTGAATTAAAAGTTGAGCTTCTAATCTGAGTTTTGCTTGGTGCAGAAGGGCGCATAATGTACTAGTGCCATTTATTTGCCTTTCGTTTGTATGCAAATGTTTTTTACGCTAAAATTTCAGTTTTATTTTCTTTTTATATCAAACAGGACTGACCTAGTTTTTTTATTGAAATCTTCTTAATTTCATTTCCTTTTATATTGCTAGCATTTATCTGATAGGTTAAACTGTCATCAGGAATCTGACAGACTTTACTTCGAACTTGTTTCTTGTAATTTTTTCTTGTCCGTCATGATTTTTGCAGTGTTTTTCATGCGCAGAACAACTTGTTAGTGACTGATAGGTTGATCCATCATATTTCAAACGCAACCAAAAGATATCGGCAGCAGGATAAGACGTAACGTTGTAGGTAAACGTCAAATTCTTTCCTTCACCAAGTGAGAACTCGTCTGCGTCGTTTTCAATGTAAATTTTGGGTCTGGCAAGCTCTAGAGTTGAAGAAAATGTGAAGAAAACATGCTTTAAATATGCTTGAAAATGCTTTCGATATGCTTTAAAAATGAAAAGAAAACGAGAAAAATGCGAAGAACATGAAAAAATGTGAAGAACAATTACTTTTTACAAAAATGTTTATTGATTAGTGTAGATGACCAAGAGAGATTAAATGACTATTTATAACAGTGTACGATAAGCGAATTACCCGCAAACCTAAGCTTAATGTTTATGCCATCGACTGTTTTTAGTTTTCTCCGTCATGATATTTTACTCTTGCACTTCCATGAAAATGAAATTTCTTAGGTTATTTTCTTTGTTTTTGAAGTGATATAGCGCTGTTTCTATGTTCCATATTTATTTAACGAAGTGGTGACGGTCTTAATTAAACTAATCTTACAAACTGATTTTCGCTAATTTTATTTCATCTCACGAGGAAATGATCGTCGACAAATATGATCCATTTCCACGATGTTAAAATAGTCCTCTGGGCACTTTCCGGTATATTTAGATTATTTGATTTTTCTCTATAGGCACAGTGAAGAGGATTTGTTTCCTGTGTGTCACTTACAAGACAAACTTTGCATAGTCTGAATAGAGTTGGGTCAGTTTGGTAGAACACATATTTCCCGTCGTCTTAAATAATTTGTTCAAAGTGCCTATGGTGCTAGAATTCTGCAGTATAGGCAACGGAATTTACACGTTTTTGAGAAGATTTAGTTGATGGTTCATTTAGTTCTTTTTGGTTTTTAGTATATCAAATGACCTTGCTTATCAATGAAAGATTGCCTGAACTTTGATGTGGTTTCATCTGTGGCTATATTTCAGGGTTCGCTGTGACTTGGGCTATTTTAGAGCAGTTTGCTTTGTACTAATTCAAAAGTTGTGTTTGAAGCGTTTTATCGGAAGCCTATTCTTATACAACACGAGTTCCTTGACTCTTCCATTTGTGGCTGAATTTCAAGCCCACTATACTATTGTTGAAAAAACAATCTAATAGTTTTGTACGCAGGTGCATTCAGGTTGGAAAAATTGTCTGAAAGCTTGTAAAACACAGGCCATATTTTTACTCAGTGTGATAAAATTGTTTTTACGATGAGTATATTTCGTGGGCATGGCCTGTCTTTTAAAGACTTTAATATCGGTTGTTTCACTCGTAAAATATCTCGCATTTTAAAAAAATCTCATTACCAGCTGTACCAGCGAACTTTAAATTACTCATAATAACCAAACGTCTTTGCTTATTCCACGCGCGTCTTGTTTTAGAGAATTTTTCCTAGAGTATACGTTTTGATACACACTGAAGTCTTGAGAAATAAGAACTCAAAATTACAGAAAACGGCTTTTCATTTACTTCAATGGAATTACCTTTGACTTTCAAAGTAAAGCTTCTGTATGATTTATAATTAACATACTTTCTTTCTATCAAGCATAAGTAGGTTCCTTCAGATTCTGCGGTAATATTAAACGTTATTTTACAGTTCTTTCGGTTTTTTGTTTCACATTTTTCTTTGTTTCTTCCATTACTCTTCCAAAAAAATCTATAGTATCGGGAAGCATATATGAATTGAATACCAGCAATATTGCAATCTAGCGAAACCTTGTCACCAAGATCATATTCGGGTTTTTTTGGTTCTACCGTAATTGAAGGATTCGCATAGGATGGCACACCTGTAGAAGAGACAAAGGGGCCTATGAACTCCTAGACAGATCAATACATTCAAAGTTACAGCACTTGCTCATATTAATTTGTTTCAAATCATTGAAATTGGCAATATCACATTGTAGAAATGATATAAGACTCTGTAAAAACTATTTTTAAACATGATTTTGGAAACATTATAGTTTAATTTACCACGTTTCTCGGTAATGACACTCGTGTAACCAAGAAGGTATTAAATAAACAGTATCTAAAAGCATACAAAATACCAACTTTTGTGAGGGATGATCTGTATAGTTCTTTTCTCATTGCAAGCTTGGCAGATGTACTCTTTGTGGTCTTGTGTTACTTTTGTCACATTGAAGATATTTTTTACTACAATTTTAATGTTTTTGTTCTCAACATGTAAAGGCTTCTCGTTTCCATCCAAAAGTTGAACATTAATGTCATGGTAATTAACTGTGCAATTGATAAGCACCCATTCACCAACAAGCCTGTGTAGATGACGTATATATTCCGATACAACTGTAAAAGATATAATACTTTTACAAAAAGGAGCTTATTTGCATCTTCAGTTAATGAAATGCCAGCTAAATGCCCCAGCAAAACAACACTTAATAAATTCATAGAAAGAAATCAAATTGTAATTTGTAAAAAAATGTCAGTCATATATAATCATAAAAGTTTCACAAAAGAAGAACCAAGTTTCACAAAAGAAGAACCTTAGGAACTTCATGTTATAGATTAAATTTCACTGTTGGCAATTTTGAAACATTGTTTTTCTACACTCCGAACCACGATATTATCTTTAAAACGGATTCATGCAGTATTCGTTAAAAAAATATCATGAAAGTACAGCTGTACACCAGTTGTACATTGTACTTTCTAAGCGTTTTCTTTGATCATTCGCTCAAACGATGTCATCAAACTATACAACTATGTTGTTGAATGTGTTGTGCGTTTTTTGGATTTTCTATAACATTTTTATTCTGTATAATGAAAGCTGTATATGTGCAATGTATTTGTGCTATCAAATATTTTAAAAATTGAAGAATTTATGTTCTGTCGATCGTTTCCTAATTTAAGTATCTTAAAATCATGTTTTATTTTGTTGTTGCGCTACAAACCTGCTTGTACTTGTTTGGTTAGTATGAATGAAGCCTATAGTGATTAGGAAACAACTGAACATACATCCCAAACAAAGCATGGAATCATGAATGTTAAAAAGAGTCCATTGCAGTTTTGGAGATATTTTATCTAAGACAACAAAAATTTTTATACACTTTAAGCTTAACAACAAACTAGCGTGTGTAAAATGTGTTTTTATAACGTAACTGGATATTTTTCTTCTTCGAAATTATTTCTTTGCTGGCTTAAGCATAAAAGGATTCAATCTGTCAGTTCAATCAAACGATCCATTAGAATACGAACGATTAGTAAAAAGACTCTCTGATATCATTTCAATAGCACAAGTTTCACGTCATATGCCCTTTGACGAAAGGCAAAGATGAAATGATAATTAATATGAGCTTGCTCCGTCGCCATCAAGTCAGAAAACAGAATTCAGAGTTGTTGCATTGTTTATTAATAATATCAGTCTAATTTAATTTTCAAAATGTGAGCTGACGAAATGTCAAAAAATGTTATACCAATCATATGATTTTTACCGATGTCTGTTATTCACTGGTTGCAGAATCGACGTTCTCAATATAAACGCCTGAAGAAATTTTACAGTGGTTTTCTACATTGTTCACATCACTCTTCGCCAAATCAGTATATTTCTACCTTACTGCAACGCTAAATGTTATTTTAAGGTATAATTTACGAGTTGGTTTAGTCTTAGTTCCGTCATACATAATAAATGTTGTTATGAGGCTTAATTCTATTTCGTCATTGGACTACGTCACTAAGGAGTCATGTGAGATATGCGCACGCAGATCGAGGAATCAGTTGCCCGCGTAGTCTTCGAGCGAACGGTTGTTTTTATCGAATAAAATCTCAACAAAGGAGCGAAAATCATGGCATCAGATGACGAATTGGAAAGACGGCTATTGGAAGAAGAGCCTAGCGGTATGAAAGAAGCGACACCACCAGGGATAGCAAAGCCAGAAGTGTTGGCTAGTCTCGTCGACAAAGTAGAGAAAATGTCAAGCAAAATTATCAACATGGACAGTTCCATTAAACGGTTGCAGTCCGACAGTCAGGATCCTTGCTTGAACGAAGGACCAAGCAAAAAAACGACGTGTAACTTCACTAATGGAAATAGACAAAGGTTACACTGACGGTGATGCAGAAGGATTGCATCGAGAAAGTGAACCTGATGCCGACTCGGCAAATGAAGGTAGTATAAGCGCCACATGTGTTCGACGCGAACAAGACGCTCTGCTACAAGAAATCTCGCACGATTTGGAGCAAGAAGAGGAGGTTGGCGACAATATAAACCAGCAACTTGCTGATATTGTCAACAAACGATGGTCAAACAAGCTCCCAGAAGCAAAACAAAAAGAAAAAATGGAAAAGTATTCAAGACCAAGTAATTGTGAAAAATTTATTGTCCCTCGCGTTAACGCTGAGATATGGGACAAGCTTGACAATAAGACCAAGCACAACGACCTTCGCACTGCTAACACGCAGAAAACAATAGCGAAGGTTGGCGCCGTACTGTCTTTCACGACAGACAAATTGCTACAAATACGTAGTAAAGAATCACCAGACGTTGATAAACTGATCACAATGAATACCGATGCCTTGGCACTTCTTGGCCACACAATGTGTGAACTATCAATGCGTCGACGCGACGCTATTAGGCCAAATTTAAACAAGGATTATAGCAGCCTTTGTGCATCACATGTGCCAGTAACGACTTACTTGTTTGGGGATAACCTTCAAACACAACTAAATGATATTAGGGCATCGAACAAGATCAGCAAGGCAACAGTGCCTCAAAGGTTTGATAAGGTCAGGCAGTATGGCCGCCCTCACTCTCATGGTACCAACAATTCCTCCTCACAGGAAAACCAAGAAAGAACCATTTTTTATCCAACAATCTGAATTGGAAGAAACACCCACCAAGGTCGACATACCCATCGAAAAAGCCATCAACCTTTCCAGTCAAGCAGCAACAATACCAGTAATGGCCAATAGTGAAAGAAACAAAAATATCATGACAAACTTACAGGTCAGTACTTTAGAGAGAGACTTGCCTTTATTAGTCAGGTATTTACACTCACGAGTGAAACGCTTTCAAGCAGGCCAGTTAAGTCACAAACTTTGTGAATGGCGCAAACTCACCTCTGATTCAGAGGTTTTACATACAGTCTTGGGTGAGGAGATTGAATTTAACGCTTTACCTCACCAACTACATGCACCAAAACCCAATACATTCACAACATTCGAGAATGGTTGTGTTGCACAGGAAATAAAAAAGCTGTTTGCAAAGGGTGTCATAGTTGAATCGGCTCATGAGGCAAATGAATTTATTTCATCCATTTCTTAAGACCAAAACCTGATGGGTCTCATAGAATGATATTAAATCTCAAAAGTTTAAATAAGTATGTGGTATATAGGCACTTCAAAATGGACTCCATTTGGAATGCTATTAGTCTAATGAAACCAAACTGCTACATGGCATCAGTTGATCTAAAAGATGCCTATTATTCAGTACGTATCTGTGCTGAACATCAGAAATATTTACAACTCGATTGGAATGGTAAATTATATAAATTTACTTGCTTCCCTAATGGGTTAGCATTAGCACCAAGAAAATTCACAAAATTGCTTAAGCCTGTGTACTCATCATTACGGAAAAAGGGTCATATATCATCACCTTATATTGATGATTCCATTTTGATAGGTGATAACTTTAATGACTGTGCAGCAAACATTGTTGAGACAGTTAAAGTTTTAGACAACTTAAATTTTGTCACTCACCCTGAAAAATCTGTGTTAATACCAACACAAAAAATTGTATTTCTTGGTTTTATTCTAAATTCAATAACTATGACTGTTTCTTTGACACCAGAAAAAGCAAAGAAGGTAAAATTGGCTTTTACCCACCTACACTCTTGTAGGATACCTCAAATAAGAGAGGTTGCCCAGGTTATTGGGTTTATTATCTCTACATTTGCAGGGGCAATGTATGGGCCCTTATATTTTCGGATTACAGAGGGTGAGAAAGCGGAAGCCCTAAAACAATGTAAGGGAAATTATGATACTCACATGCAGTTATCCTCTAGCAAAAAGGAGCTGGAATGGTGGATAAACAATGTAGAAAGATCAAACAATCTGATCTCTAGACCAGAGCCGCATGTAACTATGTCCACAGATGCATCTAAAGTGGGCTGGGGGTGTGCTATAAATAACATTAAAACTGGAGAGCTCTGGACTCAGGAAGAGAGTCAATCTCATATTAACTATTTAGAAATGCTGGCAGTGTATTTTGGTCTCAAGTCACACCAAAAATCTATTACGAAAATGCATGTAAAAGTACTAGTTGATAACACTACGGTTCAAAATACCCTAAACAAAATGGGAACAAGTCACTCTCCATTATTGAACAGTCTTATCAAAACTATATGGGACTGGTGCATTGTTAATGAGGTTTGGAACACAGTTGCCCGTATTCCTGGCAAGGAGAATGTCGATGCAGACAGGGAATCTCGGAAGGCCAGGCGCACCACTGAGTGGTGCCTGAATAAACACATATTTCATAGGGCTTGTACGAAACTAAATGTAAAGCCAAACATTGACCTTTTTGCCTCCAAAATTAATTGCCAATTAAAGCCATACATTTCATATACCCCAGACCCAGAAGCAATTGCAGTCCATCATTCATGGCTGGGTTATCAATTTTACGCTTTTCCACCTTTTTGTTTGATTAGTCAGGTGCTACAAAAGATTCAAAAAGAGAAGTCGGAGGGACTGCTTATTATACCAAAGTGGCCAACCCAATCCTGGTGGCCAGTAGCAATGAGAATGCTGATGCAGTCACCAATCTTGCTACCACAAACACCATCAACACTAATTCTTCCCAGCAACCCATTGGAGAAACATCCTCTTCACGAGAAACTAGTGCTAGTAGTGTGTCACTTATCAGGAAACAGTTCAAAGACCGAGGACTTTCGACAACAGCTGTGGAAGTCCTGGAATCAGCATGGAGAGCAGGCACACGGAAGCAATATGAAGGGCATTTGGAAAGATGGAGACAATATTGTTATCAACGGCATATCAATCCCTTTTCTCCCACTGTAGAAGAAGGGATAAACTTCCTTTGGAGTTGTTCAAAAAGGGCTTGGGTACAGTGCACTAAATACTGCAAGGAGTGCTATCATCGATAGTAAGTTATCAGATAGTACTAGTTTTGGAACACACCCACTGGTTTGCAGATTCCTTAAAGGAGTCTTCAAAATCGTCCAGCCTTACCAAGGTACACCAGAATCTGGGATGTACGAATAGTGCTAGAATACTTAAAACCATGCAGCCAAATGAAACTTTGACACTGAAAAGCTACCACTTAAACTGACCATGATGTTAGCCCTTATCTCTGCTCAAAGGTGCCAAACCCTTAAAGCCTTATCACTGGACAATATATCTCGGAGGATGATAAGTATGTATTCACCTTCGACCAATTGTTAAAACATCTCGCCTGGGAAACACCTAAAGCCTTTCACAGTTAAGAAATATGACCCAGATGCAACACTTTGTCCGTTCAAACTCCTTACTGAGTACATTGAAAGAACAAAAACTATTAGAAGTAATTCCAAACAGTTGTTAATTTGTTTCCAAAAACCCTTTAATGTAGCAAGCACGGACACTATCTCGAGATGGCTTAAAACAATCTTAAAGCTGGCGGAATAAATGATTTTTCTGGCTACAGCACAAGAGCAGCATCCTCGTCAGCTGCAAACAAAGCATCCATATCAATTGAAGCAATTATGGAAGCAGCTGGGTGGTCTAATGCTTCAACATTTCAAAAATATTATAATAAGCCATTAAAAACAAAAGCCGACTTCGGTTGTTCATTATTAAATGCTTCCAATGACTAAGCACAAATTTTTTAATAGTGAGAAGTATAGTTATATGTGTTGTTGAAAAAATTGTCAATACATTTGGGATTATGTTAAAGCTCGTGATCACAACACTTTGAATATCTCACATGACTCCTTAGTGACGTAGTCCAATGACGAAATAGAATTTAAAAATTAAACGAGACTTACCTGTAAGTTGAAGTTTGATTGTAATTCTATGAGTTATTGGACAAGGAAACTAAGGAGTCACCTCCCCCATTATATTGGAGGGATGTTTAGTGTAAAAAATCTTATTGCACCCGCCCTAAATGGTGAATGCTGTTGAAATCACTCGCAGCGTTGAAAACTGATTCCTCGATCTGCGTGCGCATATCTCACATGACTCCTTACTTTCCTTGTCCAATAACTCAAGAATTACAATCAAACTTCAACTTACAGGTAAGTCTCGTTTAATTTTTAAATTATACAGCTCTTTGTAGAGCAGTTGATTTGCCGAACATGTTGAGAATAAAGCTAAATAAGGATAGACCTAATAAGAATATCTTATTACTTACATTTTATACCCCTTGTACAATTCTCGGGTGCACTCGCACAGCTCTCAATCAGCGCAACATATAACAGCAACACTGCTACATTGTTTTGGAATAAAGCCATCTTTGGGTTTTCTGAAATATCATGAAAAGGACGAGAAAGCTTTTTACGAACGATCTACGAATGGTTGTGATGTTAATGAAACTTGGAGTGTTTAAGGAAATAGAGACCATACGCTAAAGCCTACGTGAGGGTCGGCAACTAGATCATGGTCAACTAACGTACGCGCCCACATATTATTCTTATTATGTCAGCGGTAAGTAACAATTGACGAATATTCATGTTTCATTATACGAATGATTTTACCGCACTACATAATGCGTTTACATATGGCAATAAGGCAAATTGGCAATAGAGAAAGCGAGAAGAGATTACAAAGATTTCAATTCAATTTTGGTTTGATGTACTTTCTTTAAAATGTCTGCCTTGCAGAAGTAATGGATTGATAGTACTTTACAATATAATAACCGCACTTCAAAAATTGCAGATTTACTGGACCTAAGGAGAACAATGTAATGTTATAAAGTAGAAATGGACTCTATTTGTATTATAGATATGATATTAAATATTTTCCTGTTATTTGTAGTACTAATAAAAATTATTATAGATACAACATGACATGATAAACACACCCATCTAGATTCGTATCTTCAAATTTTTTTCCAAACTTCCTGCTCAATAATATAAAGTTTGTGTGTTCAATGTGTTTGACTGTTTGTCCATACTTGCTTGTAATTTTCTGATTTGAGTTAATGCACAGGTGTGGTAAATTTTTTAACTTTGTTAAAGTTATTGTCAGGAAATTTTGAAAACTCATTGTCTTCAGCAGTGCCATCCACACAGTGAACCAGAATCTAACTTAAGTGCTCATTAAATGAAATGGATGGTTTTCAAATGAGCATATTGATTTATCACGAAAAATTGATAGGTGATCATAGTAGAGGTGCAGCCATATCCAATGTAAAGTTGTGATGTCAATCACAGTAGCTAATTCATATGTTCCTGAAAATACTTTACTACAAGAAATGGTAACAATATATCTTAACATGTAACACTGGGTATTCTCTACATTCATCTCTGGCAAAAATTTTCACATTGAATCTCTGAGCACCAAAATAAATTCTATTATGGAAAAACAGATTGTTCAGAAAAACCTTTGAGCATATAATTCCTTCCATTGTCATAGGATTTTTCGAACAGTTTAAAAGGCTCCCACCTGCTTTTGTTATGCTTGTGGCATAGATCCAGTGCTGTAGAACATAACTTGCCTTAGATGCAACTCTCTCAAATAGTGTAATGTAATTGTAAAAAGTCATTGCATGATGTCATAGTGTTTGCAAATAATATTACCACTTAACATGAACAAGTTTCTTTATCAATTTTGTAAACTAAATATCTTTGTCAGGTTGGGGTGCTCTGTGCTCTGCAATGACTATCCATAATTTCATGAAGAATGCTTGATTTCCATGCACCCACCTCCCTAACAGCATTGAATGCACCATTTCTTGATTTTATGGTCATATGAGAAGATACAATGCATTTGGCTAAATGTTTTTCGAGCAACAAAAAATTCACATTTTCCTACATTGTAAAATTGCAACTTGCCATACATATATTCTATGAGAATCTAAACATAAAAAGCGCGGGAAATCATCATGGAATTGTTGCCAAATGCTAGTTCGAAAATAGAGTTTCCAATTGTTGTCACTTGGAAAGTTAATGTTTTAAAGTTTTCCAATTCGCATCTTTTGAGGTACGCACTACCGTTGTTTTTCTTATGTGTCTGATCAAATGTTTGTTACATCGTTGTTGCTGTCTTCATATCCCAAAATTAGGACATGGATTCCATATCAGAAGTCCTGAACATCATCCGTCAATGTCAAGAGAATCCACTGTGGAAACCTAAAAACATAATGGTTGATTTTTCATTAGCTGAAATTGGAGCAATCAAACAGTGTATTCCAAGTAAGACGAAACAAAGCAATAGCCTTTTTTGAAGAAAATGTTTTTGCGATTTTCATCGAGAGAAGGCGTGGAACGAATGGATTAAGCGCAGTAATGGAACGTATCTTTACAAACATGAGCTATTACAACTGCTGCGAAATATTGCAAATAGCACAAGTCAAATCGCATTACAGAAAACATTGAATCATTGAAAAACAGCCATCTGTGGAAAGAATCGCTGCAACTGCAGAAATACTTTGATGAATTTTTGGGATTACACTTGCAAGTATTAATCTCTTCTATTTTATGCGTTTTAATATCAGTACGCTAAACTGCTCAAAACTGATACTACCTATCCAACCTATGTGTGTTTATATAAATATATACATTACTTTTCAAGAAATGGGTCCATTTTTACAGGGATGAATCGTTGCGCGTTGCCATTTATACAAACAACGGAGTGGAAAGGCAAAATAACTGGTTAAAGCATTCATATTTAGAGGACAGACGAAATCATTCGATAAGTGATCTCGTCAATATATTACTAACACAGTTCCTGCCTGATAGCTACAAAAAGTATTGTGCATACTGTTTTTTTTTATAAGATGTTCGCAATCAGTGAACTTTAACGATAATCAAAAAAGTATAAGTGTACTTACAATTTTCTCTTTATAGATATAAGGAACAGAATATCAAATCATCCGATTCGTACAAGTCCTACAGCAAACAAATCCCAAAGTTCCTGCACAATAGACCAAAGTATGTTGTTTCTCATATTATTCAACGGATGGAATCTGACATTCCAAGTAAAAACATCAAGATGGAAACGACAAAACATTTCACTGTCACAAGCTCATCATCCACATATCAAGTTTTTCTGGGATCAAACGACCAAATGCCTTCCTGCCAATGTCTTGATTACAGGAGTCGGAAGATGCCTTGTAAACACATATATGTGCTGTTTTTCAACAACCAAATGTTGGGAAGTTTTCCAATCATCCCCTATTTACTTTAGATCTCCATATAATTCAACCAAAAGCCAATATAAGCCAAACTCAGACTGATATCAAACACAAGTCACTGCCAGGAAACTTTGCGCAATGTCCTAATTATGAAAAAGCTCATTCTTCTGACTGTTTTCTTACCACAACAGATTATTACTCTAACTCAATCCAAAATGTTAGAAATAAGTGTGTTCAAAAAGTCAAACAAATTCAGGATGAGCTTTACATTTTGGATGATGAGAAAGTTTAGGGCAAAGCCCTGGAGATGTTACAAGAGGTAATACAATACACAAGAAAAAATCATCTTGAGGAAAATGGAATTTCATTGAAAAACAAGTCTTTATCTCCAAAAAAGAAACAAGTTTCAAAGTGTAGGTCACAATCTGCTTTGCCAAAAAAAAATGCAAGAGGTGTCCAGGTAAACAAGTGGGAAGAGCAGAAAGTGAAAAGATTGAAGTATTTGAAGAGAAGCTTGAAAAAGAAGAGAAGCATGAGAAATGCAAATTACAAGTAATAAAAGAGCAACTAGCAAAAAAGATGAAAATGAAGAACAATGAGAAAATTGAAAATTCTGAGGAATGATGGGTAGATATTCAAGGAATAACGTTGTCATATGCTCAGAAAGATGTGCTTCTAAATCTAAATGGATGGGTTTCAGATGACCATATTGATGCAGCACAGAAATTAATAGGTGATCTTGGTACCGGAGAGGGAGGTCTAAACACAGTCGTAGCAGTCACATACATTAGCAAACTCATAAATATTCCGGAAATATCACCCAAGCAATTCAATGTCACAATATTGGTCACCACTGGGTGGTTTCTACATCCATAACTGGTGAAATAGTAGTCTTTGAATCTATGAGTACCAACCTGAATTCATCATTAAAAAGGCAACTCCAGAATGTTTACAACAACCTTCAAGAACAGGATGGTTCTTTAAACGTCAAAGTGATTCTCCAACAACATCAAAAAGGATCATCAGATTGTGGTCTTTTTGCTGTGGCAAATGCTGTTAACCCTTGCTCTGTTACCTGGCTGCAGAAGAAGATGCAAGTGCATCTGGTCAAATGCTTTGAAGAACAAAAAATCGAGATGTTTCCCCACATTGAGAATGCAATGCAAACCTGCCATTCAAAAAATTATATTCTGTGAGAATATAGTAATTGTAAGCATCTAACATAAAAGTAATCATGTATCGCTTCACTTTTGCTTGCAAACTTCTACACTGTAATTGCTCAAATTGGAGCCCCTTGACAAATCATGTATGTATTTATCTGTAAATAGTATTAAACAAAATTAACATTTTCTATTTGTGAATCATGGACATGGTATTTATTTTTACAACTAACTGGGGACATATAACTAAAACAGTCTAGATAATGTAGAAATAATAAATTTACCTTATAAATTTTACACAGTTGTGTAGCGCGCCCGGAAGATAATTTGGTCGTGGTATGTAAATTTGATATTATTATCATTAAACATTTCTTTAGAAATCTGTTGTTTTTACAGTTAGTGAACAAAGAAATAATTGTATAGCAGAGCTAAATAAAACGGGCTGGATACGCCACTGTTACGTTCATTGTATATTGTTCATTGCTTCATCGAGTATCGTTATGATGATTTAAAATCGTTGAGCATATGACAATATATGTAAAATACAAAGAATACAAAACAATAAATGTGTAAAAAAGTAAAACTGTCCAAACCTGAAATCGAAAAAAGAATTCTCGTCATTTAGCCGCATATCGGTTAAATACGCATATGAAACTTGTTATTCTCAATGGTTATTTTATATTTTAGTGGTTTGTCACAGCTTATAGGTAATTACCATTGGTAATTACATATACATGAATATTCGACAATTGTTACTTACCGCTGACATATTAAGAATAATATGTGGGCGCGTACGTTAGTTGACCATGATCTCGTGCCGACCCTACGTGAGTGTTGTTACGCATTGTGCTCAACAGCTGTGCGTATCTTGGTGTTCTATGCAAAACGTTGACCAGATGATATATTTAAATAGAGTTTATACCTATAGTTTTACTGTCTACAGTTTGTAGAAAATTTAACTGACTTCTTCAGGGGCGTATGGTCTATTAAGCATAAGCTAAAACATTAAAGGATAACACGACATATTCTTATTTAACAACTTATTCGACGGAAGCACTCTGTTGCAATATCAAATTTCCAACAAACAAACATCTAAAGACTTATTATTTTTGGTAAAGTGGAAAGACAGTTTTACTTTAAACTAACCGAAGATCAGCGTAAATGACTAAACTCCAGTCATGTTTGAATAAGACCTAAGAGCATCTCTCGGACAGCGCTTTTGGCTAATGTATAGATTGAGAATAGACATGTTATTAGAGAGCAACTTCTGCTTTCTTGTTCAAGAATACTTTTAGATGCTCAAAAGCATCTATACAGCCATTTTAGTATGAAATTCAATTTGAGCATCTTTAAGGAAAAAGTAAAACCAGCTGTATAGATATATAAATGTAAATGACTCTATATATGTAAATAACTCTATATATATCTATAATTCTTGTTAACTTCCTTATTAATCTGAAGATATCTTGAATCAAGACGAAACGTCACTATTTTAATAAATTTCACAAAACCAAATTGTTTATGACTATGTTTAAAATTAATAGTGATTAGGAAAAACAGTTTAACAATTGCACTATTCTAATGGCAACAAACAGCAATGGTAATTGAAGTTCTTTGTTATCAGATCATGTTTATCTTCAATACTGAGTTAAATAGAGAAATATCATCGTCAAAGAAATGTCCTTATAATTAGGTAACTTAAGGAGATGCGATTGCCAATTCAATGCAGAATAAGTAATGACTTGCAATTTGTCTTCGAGGAAAACTACTTACAATGCATGACTAATGATTTAGAACCCAATCTTCTAGATGTCTAACTACCTTGACAAGGTGAGGCAAGGACGCCATCATGAAAGGTGGCAAAAAGCAAAAGTCAAAATGAAAAATAAGTTAGAACAAACATTAAAAAACCCATCATATTAAAAATTTTAATAATTAATTATTCGGGAAGAAACGATCGGACACAATGAATAATCGCAAGTAGAAACACTGAATTTTTAAGAAATTTTAAGACTTTACAGGTAAACCAGTATTCTTCTTTTGTACCCACGCTAATAGCGTATTTGAATAAAAGCTTGGAGAACTATCAGGCTGGCAGCGTATCAATTTTTTTAAGTGCATGGGAAACACTCACCTCTGATAAGGAAATCTTAGAGACGGTGTCTGGACAAAAAATTGAATTTGACACAATTCCGATATAAAGAGCCTTACCCAAGGAAATACAGCTACCCGAGGTTGAAATTAACAATATTGATTTAGAAATTAGCAAATTACGTAAAAAAGACGTTTTGCAGATTTCTCACCCTGAATCAGGGGAATTTGTATCTCCAATTTTCACTTGCCCCCAAAAAGATGGTTCTTTTCGCATGATTCTTAATCCATAATCCTTAAACAGGCATGTCAGATATCACCATTTTAAAATGGAGTATGTTTGGTCAGCTATTAGGCTTACGAAATCAAATTGTTTCATGGCATCCATCGATCTCAAAGATGCTTACTATTCCGTACCTATTCACCCAGCATATCAAAAATTCCTCAAATTTTGGTGGAGAGGGCAACTATATAAATTTGTCTGTTTTCCTAACGGCCTAGCCATCTGCCCAAGAAAATTTGCAAAACTCCTTAAACCTGTTTTTTTGAATTTACGTCAAAAAGGACATATTTCGGTTGGCTGATACTTGGTGATACTTGGCTGACACATATGCTTCATGTGTTCGGAATATTCGAGATACCATCTTCTTATTTATTAAAGTAGGGTTTTACGTACATCCGGATAAGTCAGTTTTAGTTCCCTCACAAGTAATTACTTTTTTGGGTTTCCTACTCAACTAAATTCTTATGCGAATATCTGTTACGACAGAACGAGCTGAGAAGATAAACGCATGTGTCATGAGCAGCTACAAGGTTCTCACCCAAAAATGAGGGATGTTTCTCGGGTTTTGGGCACTCGCACTTCGAGTCTCCCGGGCGTAATGTACGGTCAGTTGCATTATCGATGGCTGGAAATGGATAAAAGCGATGCCCTTAAGTTAAACTGGGTAATTTTGACAAGACAATGACCCTGTCTTCAGAGGCCATACATGATTTACGATGGTGGCAGTCATCAATATGCACGACATACAGGCAAATTACTCACAATGAACCTAGCAAATGCCAAACTAATGTTGCGTCGTTGACAAGTGGGGCTGCTCCCTAAATGTTGTATGTGCTGGGGGCAACTGGACGCCCTTGGAGGCTTCCAATCATATAAACTATTTGGAGATTCTTGCATTATTGTTTGCCCTTGAGTCGTTTTCTTCAGAACTAAAAGGTCAACATTTTAAGGTATTAATTGATAATACTACCGCTGTAGCTTGCATTAATCAAATGGGCACATGCCACTCAAGGTCTATTCACAAGTTGACATGCAATGTCTGGACATGCTGCATTTCGTATGACATTTGGTTGACAGCAGTGCACATTCCAGGATTACAAAATGTCACTGCAGAGAAACAGAATGGCAGTTGAACAAGACTCTGTTTACGTGTGCCATTCAAAAACTAAACGTAACTCCGAACATTGATTTGCTTGCGTCAAGGTTGAATAATCAAGTGAAACTCTATGTTTCATACCAACCTGGCCCGTATGCTATAGCTGTCAACGCCTTTACGATATCGTGGGCCAATTATACATTTTATGCGTTCCCGCCTTTTAGCATTATTTCGCAAGTGTTACAAAAATAGTACAAGATAAAAGCACAGGACTAGTCTTAGTCCCTCACTGGCCAACACAAAGTTGGTGGCCAGCTTTAATGCAGATGCTAATAGCGCATCCTGTTGTTTTACCTAGAGGAAGAATGACCTTAACTCTTCCAGCTCATCCGGATCAAATCCACCCTTTCAATACAAAATTGGTGTTACTACTTTGCCATTTATCGGGGAACTCCTCTCTGATAGAGGCATTTCACCAGAGGCTTCTCAAATCATCATAGCAGTCTTGGCGGATCGGTACCAATATTCTACATACCTTAACTATTGGCGACAATATTGCAACGCAAACAGTATCAATCCTGTCGTGTCCTCTGTAGAAGAAGGCATTAATTTTGTTACAAAATTATACCAGGAAGGTTTATCCCACAGCGGTATTAATACTGCAAGGAGCGCCTGATCCACTATCCTAATGCTACCAAGTGGCATGTCGTTTGGTACTCATCCATTCGCTGCTAGGTTTGTTAAAGGTGTATTTGTTGCAAGACCAGCTCTTCCTAGATATGCCATGATCTGGGACGTTTCAGTGGTATTCAAACATCTTCGAAATCTCCACCCTCCGAAATTCTCAATTTGAAATCATTAACACTAAAAACAGTAATGCTTTTAGCATTATTATCTGGTCAGCCATGCCAAACACTTCATGCATTGGATATTTCTCATATGGAGAAGAAAGAAGATCGAATAGTTTTTCATGTGCACCAATTGCTCAAAACATCTAAGCCTGGTAAGCATGCTGCTCCTTAAGAATTTTGAGCTTATCCACAAGAGCCTGGGTTATGTGTATTCAATTACATGTCCCATTATCTAAATGCCACTGCACCCATACGAAATAGTGCGGGACATCTCCTATTAAGCTATCAAAAACCTTATTATTTGGTCACTTCAGCGACAATTTTCCGATGGTTAAAATACGTGTTAAAGGATGCTGGTATAAATACTGAGGTTTACAGTGCACACAGTACTAGAACTGCATCAAGTTCTGCGGCAAACGCATTGAATATTTCTATGGACACTATTATGAATGCAGCTACATGGCGTAATGAACAAACTTTCAAACATTTTATAATAAACCAATTGAGGCGAAGAACTTTGGTAATGATCTACTTTCTGCCATTTGTGAGACATGAATTGTGAAATTTCAATTATATTCTTTTGTTCTTAGTTATTGCTCATGTCCGCATTGCTTTAAAATCTCACACGACTTCCTAGTGACGTAGAACAGTGACGAAATAGAATTAGAAAATTAAACGAGACTTACCTGAAGTCGAAGTTTGATTGAAATTCTATGAGTTACTGTTCCGGAACTAGGAAGTCACCCACCCAACTACTAACTTATTTCTTTTCAAATGATGTTAAATACTACTTGCCTCCCAATACGTATGTGGACGTTCGCAATTTTTTTTAAAAACTGATCTTGATATCGCGCGCTCTATCTTCCTAGTTCCTTAACAGTAACTCATAGAATTTCAATTAAACTTTCGACTTCAGGTAAGTCTCGTTTAAATTTCTAATTTGTTTTGCCACCATTCAAGATGGCGGCTTACCTCACTCACTACTATACAATTTCGGCGGAGTCAGATATCTAGTAGATTGGGTTCTAGGTCATTATGCATGGCGCGTGCATAAACCACATGGAGATCAGCGTATTTTTTATTGAAAAACAATACAAGAGATTGTGGCAGATGTTGACAAGCGGTCACAGTTTTTTCATTTGTAGTGTGTCGTTTGTATCAAAGTCAACTTCTCAAAGCGTTAAGTCGAGTTCATTAACAATTTAAATACGAAAAATTTGCGTTCTGCGAAAATTAAATGGTCTACAATGTCACAGCTGCTTTAACATTCTCTTAAAGTATGGTACATACACCATGATGGACTAAAAGTATAAGTACAAAGAAAAATATTCAGTTCAATTTTATTTACAGTCACAGAGATGATATTTTCCAATGCTATTCAGTATGAAAAATTCAAAATAACATTGAAGATCCGAGAAACACCTCTGTGCGACTTTCAGGTATAAGATGATTACAGTCAAAATGAAGAATTTTTTCTCCTACATCAAGTACTAGTATCGTGTCTGGCATATTATCAAATGGGTATAACAAAGAAATCAAGGCATGAAAAAAACCATTTGAAGAGTTTACTTCTTGGATAAAGTCAATATATAATCATTTGTGATGGTGCGTTGACAGAAAGGAATTGATCTCTCGTCTAGCTCAAAGCCGGTCTCTTCACGTAGCACTAGAAGAAATAGTTACCAATAGTAAGTTATTGAAAGTCCTGAAGAAACCCGTCTAAGCAATGCCATTTAGTTACCTTTTAAGCATGCTACAAAGCATTTAAGTTTAAATGGAATGGTAGCATGCACCCAAACAGGCGATTCTTGATCACAATGCTCATGTACACAAGTAAGCTGGACAAACAATTTCCAAAGAGGTGAACATGATTGTCCTGTAGTTAATTCCCTAATCAATTATATTCGAATTAAATATTCATATTATTAGAGTAGTATTTCAATAGCTGTACATAGGTGTTAAGGGCATTCATTAAATTGTCTATGAAAAAGCAACGCTACAATGATCTTGTTTGCTTATTAAATTAGAAGAAAACGACAGGTGATGTTTGTGATTTACTTCTACCAAAAAAATTGATAGAAAATCTTACCATAGCTTTAGTATAGAGATGCTGTAGCATATCAAAAAGAAGTTGCAGATAAAGCACCTCCTTACCATGTAATAGTCATTGTAGAAACAAGGTATTAGAGTATTGGCTCTCTTCGTTTAGCATTGAGAGAAAGAATTACGAATAGTAAAAATTACTGAAAGACCTAGAGAAACTCTCTAGGGCAATGGAATTTTATGCTCCTAAACGCGAGCATTTCTGTTGGATGACGCAATGTTCTTTCAATTGAGGGAGAGAAGGAAATTTGCCACAAGCACAAGCCTGTCACACAGGCAGCATGTATTGCAGGGATTTTTTCAGTTCAAATTGATAAGCCAATTCGACTGGTAAGAATCCTATGGATCAGTCAGTCATGTGGGAAAACAATAAATGCAATTAAAAACACTTAGATAAAGTTAAGTTTTAATTAATTGCTGAATACCGAAGAGTTCTCATGAAAATAGCTCAGGGTTTTTTTACATGTGTTGTTTGAATTGTGTTCAGGTAAGGGTTTTTATTATGTTGACTGAATTGTGTTAAATATCGGTAAAGTGGTGAAATGAAAGCGCTGTTTTCAACTTTACAAAGCTAGACAAATCCTTTTCAAAGAAAAGCAAATGATCTTGTTTGTTTATGAAAAGAGAAGAAGGCCAAAGATCTTCGTAATTTACTCCTACCAAAAAAGGAGTGAATTACGTACTATAACTTTAGCATGGAGATGCTTGAGCCTAATGAAAGCGAAATAGCAGGTAAAGCATTATTATATCATATAATAGTCATAGCAGAAATAAGTAAATTTAACTTAAATGAGTTATTTAGAATTCTCTCGGTCACGCATCTTGGATTATGGTACCTCGAGACTGCTCCTATGAGAAAAAAACCCAGCTGAGTCATCACCCTCACTGCTCCCCAGAGAAGAAAAAATCCCAAGCTGACTCGTCTTTTACGAATGAACTTCAAAGGAGTGCTTCAGCAGAAAAGTCATTGCGACGATAATCCGTTACGATTATTATTAGTGATCGTAAAAACTAGAGAGAGATTGTAAATATACGCTTTCCTGCAAGTTACCAAAAGAAAGCTCGTCAATTAGCATAACTGACGTGATTTTCGATGATAACTATCAAAGGGTTTTAATGAGTCGAATGAAATTTCATCAAAATTTTTTTGTTAAAGCAAAAACTATTAACTGGGTTAAGAGTAATTTGGGATATCATTTATCATATTGAGTCGTCTTACCTGATTGAACCATGACATTGTAGCTCACTTGGCAACGGTTGCAGGTATATATATCTGATTTTGTCAAGTTTGTAACATTGAAAACATTTTTGCTTAAAATTTTTATTTGGTTGTTGTCAACATGTAAAATTTCTCGTTTGCTGTTCAGAATTTGAGCATTTAAATCGTTGTGATTTACACTGCAATTAAACATAACCCATTCACCAGGAAGTATGTATATTGGTATCGGTCTCCCTGATAAACATGAGAAAAAAAACAAATTTAGCGTAAATTATTTGTTCAAAGATGCAATTTTCGTAAATTTTCATCGCAGATAACGGTAAATTGAAATTGAGAGAAAACATTCATAAAAATAGTACTGAGTCATTTTCAATGAAAGATATAGTATGTATATAGGTTTGCTCTCGCCTATATAGGTTTGAGCGCTCTGGTTTCTCTACAATACAATCCATACAATGTGTAACCGTACGTCCTGTGTCCCAAGTGCAGGAGTCACCATTTTACAATGGTGATAGCCCGGAGGGCACATTGTTATACATTTTGTATATATATATATATATATATATATATATTGATGAGAAAGAAAAACTACAATTCATTTGTTTCGTGATTTCTCACTCTTCAGGGAGAATATTATCCCTGAAGAGTGAGAAATCACGAAACAGGCTTGTCGGGATGAAATTGTAGTTTTGTGTATTTTTCTCATCAATATTTAAGCTCTGCTCATAAGCATCGAGCACTGTACTTACGGAGATTCAAATAAACAAAACTTCCTATATATATATATATATATATATATATATATATATATATATATATATAATGAACTAAAATAAAATGGACAATTGCTGTCGCTACTCAGAGTTTCACGCCGTAGGGCGATCTTCAGGCAACTCTGAGTAGCGACAGCAAACAATTGTCCATTTTATTTTATTTTAGTTCATTTTATCATTTATTCATTTATTCGTTGCCTGAAGATCGCCCTACGGCGTGAAACTCTGAGTAGCGACAGCAAACAATTGTCCATTTTATTTTATTTTAGTTCATTTTATCTTACGCTCTTCTAATATATAGAATATTGAGCTTTTATCCAGGAATATTATCCATAATAATATATATATATATATATATATATATATATATATATATATATATATATATATATATAATATATATATATATATATATATATATATATATATATATATATATATATATAAATATATATATATATATTATGGAGAATATTCCTGGATAAAAGAGCGCTCAATATCCGATATAATTTTTCCTTCACCAAAGGAAAACACGTCGGCGTCATTTTCAATATAAATATTTGGTTTGATAAATTCTATATTTTCAAAATATAAATGATAACAACCCAATTTAGTAAATAATACAATGCAAAAGGTTGTCCATGATATACATGTCATACACTTTCTATTGTTTTCAACGTCGTTATCATTACATGATATTATATGAGCACTGTCTTTCACTCACAAGGCATCATCAGGCGAATCAACTAATATCCAACCAAGTCGGCCAGGTGTTATATTGAAACAGAGTTGTTAAATTATTTCCGGAAATTAAAAGAGAATTTTTGACCTTATACGGGATGAAATGAAGAGTTCTTACATGCATCCCACCCAACTCTGTTGACTCACGTTTCTGTATCTTGCACGCTCTAGAGAAACAACCCCATTTTATTTCAAATGAAAACATTCAGTAAGAGATCAGTTTTTTCCCCCAGATGCCTACTGATAAATACAAATTCAGACCACACAAGTGAAAAATAAAGACGACCAATTGTAAAATTTAGCTACGTCATTACATACATTAAAAAGACCAACCTGATATAAGAGATGATTAATTCATCTCTTGAAGATGGCTTTCTTGTGAGGAAACACAGTGTAGTGAACATGACAGAAATATGAAATTGTATAGAATTTGTATATACCAATTTGCTTTCATTTGCATGGTATATACATAATGTGACATGTAGTGTATTTGAACAGTGATTTAAATTTCCAAAAATTACAAACGATGGGAAATTAATTGAGACAAAATAACTAATTAATTTACCTTTGAGTTTTATCGTAACTTTCTGAGAAGATTTGTAGTGAACGGGTTTTCTTTCAATTGAGCTCTCGTAGCTTCCTACTCTTTCAAGTGTTATGTTAATTGGCAACTTGCAGTCTCTTTTGCATTCCTTTTCTGTCTTACCATTTCTTTTCCATGATATTCTGTAATAAATTGCTATTAAATATGAAGGGCCAATAAGCTTGCAATTCAATGTAACACGTTCCTTGTAATCATATATTGTTTTAGAATTTTCAGAGTAGAATTTTTCCCTATGAAAACTTTTTTTTTCTTAACAGAAATCATTGATGTTGGGCTTTTAAATTTTCAGAAAACTTGCTTGAAACTTTATCTACAAAATAGCATTTTAAGGATAAAAAATTTTAAACATGTAATTATTCCCCCTAACAACGCTCGTGCTTTTACACGTTTAGCCTTTACATAGTTCCCCTTTCTGTCTGAAGACCTGACGATGCCACTGAATCCTTTATTTTTTAATTATGTTTTGGTGTGATTTGATTTTTTTAAAGTTAATCACTTTAGCAGCTAACTTAAATGAAAATCTCAGATTTTGCAAAGTGCATGCTAGTTGGAGGAACTCAAAAGGACATCAAGCATCTTGTCGATGAAAATATTCTGCTGTTATACTGCATAATAGTAAAAGTTACAACAAAGTTACAACAAAGACTAAGATTTAACTTCATCATTAATTTTCTTTAGAAATGTTATTTCATTCATTGTTTTTTGGCAAATGATCAAAAACCCTCAAAGAATTCTGGATTATTACTCACCCTTCCTTTTTTTAGGACAACTTGAAATATTGGATATACTCACACGACTGTCAACCAACACAAAATACAACATCAACACTCCAAATTTATCACACATGAGCGTCATCTTTCAGGTTCTTTAGAAATATGTAAATACATTTCAATAAAATACTAAAATCAAACAACACACAAAGATACTCTATACATAGAAACGTGCATACCGTGTTTGTCTAAAAGTATACATGGGTTGAAATGCATAATTGCATTTTCTAAATGGTCTTCAGTGTGAAGCACATGGGGAAATTGTTTACTGTCACTGAAGTCTTTGATTTTATAAATGGGATTGTTTGATGTCCAGTCACTGAAGTTCAGTGGACTTATTCTTTGTGTTATGAATATATTGTGCTGTCATTTTAGTTTCAGTAAAGTAAACATTTAAATACTATTTTGGATGTATAGAATTTTTGTTATCATATTTTCAATTGTAATATATTTGAAAAAATTTAAAGGGCCCTCCATAGAAACCAGAATATTGTCTTTTGAAAGCTTCTCTTATGTAATTGATTGAGGCTTTACTTTTCATTGCAACATGTTATAATTAGCAGAATATTTACAACTTGGTTATTGACCATCTTTATATGATATCATAACAGTGTGTTCTAGACATTGGCAGTAGAAGATGTTTGGTTTTGTGTGGGGTCTGAATAACAAAAAAAGTCTTGGTAGGGGTGTCATTCTTATCCCCTGAGCAAAATTTTAGTCAGAGATTCAGGAAAATTAAATACTGTCCATTAAATACTTCATTCTCTATGAGAAAGACAGTATGAGAGAATCTAATATGTATTCCCCCTGTCAAACAAGGACTTGTTTTGAGAAGAATATTGAAAAGCTCTTTGTTACAATGGAATATTTGTTTGGGGGGGGGCTTAGCACCCCCATTTTAATTATTGGTGAGCAGCCCTTTAGCCCTACATTCTTCTGCCCTTGGTTCTAATCAAAAAGTACACAACAATTTAAATAAAACTTCTACATTTCTGCAAAAGTTTTCCAATGAAAAAGCAAAAAAGTGCTTGGATAAAGACTTGATTTCAAATATATCTTATTTAACAAGTGTGGACATCACACTAGCGTTAAAATATGCTCATTCTTTTTTGTTCAATACAATTGTAATGTATCTAGGCTATATTGCTAAGACTTCGTCTATATAAGTCAATTTGTCATCGATCTAACGATATTTTTCTCAACTTCAATCTTTATGAATGTGAAGTCAAAAAAGGATTTAAGCCATTGGTTAAGCCATTGGAGTCTCTTCCATTTTTCTTTCCTTGAATAATTTAATTTCTGCTTCTGACTGCGACATTTTTGTCGATATGTTCTGATTTTGTTCATAATTTTCCAAATCCTAGAATCATAAAGAAATAATTATTTTTTTAAGCATTTAAGAAGTAAATGATGTTTACTGTGTCGGTGTTGGCTCATTCAAATCTAGGAGACGTTTTAGAGAACGCGAGAGGAGATCAGTGCAAACTACAACCAAGCTCGTGTGCAAACGTTCCGTGTGCAAACTACAACCTATTGATAAACAACCGCCCGCCTGGACACGGGCTGTCACCCGATTAAGATTACAGATGTAAGAGGCAGTCTTAACTCAGCACATCTTTTGACGTTTCAAGCATTTTATCGTTGTGATAGGATTTGCATATCCTTATCAAAATTTGTAACAGATTACCATCAGCATTCATCAGCATTTATTTCAGTATTACACATTAATAAGCTGATTTTAAAATGCTTTTGCTAGGATATTAATATGGTAGAACGCTACATGAAGAAACTAAATGCTATCTTTTATCAACCATTTTTTAATGTAGTTCGTTGTTGTATCACATAGTTTACCTTCACTTTTTCACAGGATGAAATTGTCGGGACATTTTTTTCTACCATTTTTTTCGCTTCTTCAAATGTTGGACGAAGTTGTGGATTTTCAATCCAACATTTGTTCATCAAATCAACCCTGCAAATATATCAGGTTGATTCACATTCATATCCACTTTATTTCAGTTCTATTTATCATCGTCATCAGAATACAACCGCTTATGCTTTAAAAGAATTTTTTTATATGAAAAATAATCTTGACTTCGACACGTATAACAACCTATATTAAAAGTCCCCCACCCCACTCCTCAAAAAACAACTTAACAACAAAACTGTAATATTAGGAAATGAGGTATCTAATGTTCAAGATTGTTTATTGTTAAACTTAAGTAGTTGAACTTAATAAATTACTAAAAGCTGTCGGCTTGATTATAATTCTCTCTTGAACAGTATTATGAGAGTAGTTACTATTAAACGTGTAAAACCATTGTGTATTCTGTCTAACTTAAGGCAATCCAATTTCAACCCGCTGGTGTGGTCAAATTACTATAGAAAAGTCCGTAGTTTTGAAATATTCTGAAAGATCAGAGTTTTAGCTATCGAATGTCAATTTGTTGTATGTCGATGAAAAATGAACAAATGCGACCACGTTGAAACATTTTAGCCGAAATCAAATTTTTTACCCCTGAGAATTAAGTACAACCCAACTTTGGAATTCGATAATCACGTAAAAGTGAAAATGATTCAGTTTACGACAGAACAATGCACTTTTATTGTTCAAGTTGATAGTGTTGTTAAACAACGCGGGATAAATGTGCTAAACATTTTCCTGACCGACAAGAACCAACCTCAAAACAGTTTCGGCAAATGTTAGAAAGTTTTACAATCCAAATTCGAAACTCTGGCAGACGCCTCACTTGAAGATCTGTGGCAAATATTGAGGCAGACGAATTGCGTTGTCTGAGACAAGCCACTTTCAACCGAATGAAAAAGCTGCATGTTAAGATGTTACTTATGATAACGAATAATTGTTTGCTATCAACTCTCGCTTGAAGGCTATGCTTAGAGTTTCCCTAATGGGTTGTTAACAATGGCATGATTCCAAGCATTTTCATAACCAAAGTGATGAACTTTCTAAAGTGTCTGATGGGTGCAAGATAATGCTCTGTCACATTGATTAATTGCAATCCGTGATCGTTTGCGAGAGCTGCTTGATCATCGTGTCATACCTAAACATTATAATCTGCGATCCCCATAGCTGACCCCCTATGACATTTTTCTTTTGGATATCCCTGATAAGCAAATTTTACACCATCCTTCTGGTTAATCTTGCTGAGAACGTATCGAATGCATGGTTAGAGAAAAACACTCCAAGCAAGGCTACGCCGACGTCAGCCTGCATTGGCAGAAGTTTTGTAACATTTCAAATAATCGTGTGTAAATAGGTTTTAGGATGATGAGTGTATTAATTATTAAAGTTTGTTTATGACACTTTTGTCAATAATTTGTTTTCTTTGGAAATAAAATACGGGGTAGGCCAAGATTTTAACACGTGTTCGCATTTGCTTATCACCCCCCTCTCTCTATACACTACAAACAACATGATATTCGATAGCTGGAATACTTGTCTTTCCTGATATGAAGAAATAACTTTATTTTTTCAGTAATTTATGCACACCAGCTGATTGAAGTCAGATTACCTCCTCTTTAGAACACTGATTATATATAAAATCATAATAGTATTCTATAGCAAAGACTTTAATTTGATTGTCTTGCTACTCACAATTGAAAAATTGATAGCGAGTAGCGAAGTAATAGCGAATATTGAAAAATATGGCTGCCGACCTTGCTGTCTCGCGTTTTACTTGAGAAAGTATTTCTAGAGAAGACTAAGTTGCCACTTAATAGAACGCTAAGATAAGGTATAACAAAAAAAATAAAATTAAAATAACTAACCATGCATTGAGCAAGGGTCACTCGCTTTTTGGTATAAACAATATGTAGGAATAGAAATGCGTAAAATGTTAAAGAGAGCTGTTACTACCTTTACTTTTGTTTATGAATACTAGTATGACTCTACTAAAACAATTAGAGTACTCGCTCTCGATTTCTATGATGCGATAAATGATTCGGGCTTTGCCCTCATCAACTATTACCTCATAGAAATGTTGAGCTCGTAATGCAATTGTTAGATAATTGTAAACTTAGCAACAAGAATTGCTTTATTGACGCACGGACCATAGTTTTTTCAGTATATTTTAAGAAATATTGTGAAAAAACTGACGAAAGATGTATTAAATATTCTCTTACATGATGTCAGGACAGTAGATGGGTGGCTCCATTCGATTTCCGTTAAGCAAATGGGCATATACTTCACTGACATGTAAGCCGGGATACGGTGTCCCACCTGAAAGACATTTGAAGGTTTAAATCATGTTGTACAAGCAACACTTATTTGAACGAGAATGATTTTTGTGGGTAGTCACGCTCAAGCCCTTCTCAAACATTTAAACAGCTAAAATTTAGCTTTAAATCTCATTTTGTATATACTTCCTAGTATCATAATCTCTTTCATCTAAAGATGTCTTGAATCCAGAAGAAAAGTCGCACGATTTTCAAATAAATAGTATACAATCAAGCGGTTGTGGGTTTCTTAAAAACGATCTGTTTGGCTCTAATTTATATATTGACAATATTGTATTGTCAATATTTTCAATACACAGGAAAGTAAACATGAGTTCGATTTCTCGTGAGTGAACGACTTCCTCACAAAACGTTTCAGAGATAAATCGTTGGACATTGAGTTTATCTTTTAAATTTGTGAAATTTCTTCAGGACGTCGCTACTATTTTGTTTTGTGGCAAGCCTATTTTTGAGGGGATGAAAACACGTAAGCCAAGCTACCCCTCTTGTACGCTCAGCGTACAAATTTTTGTTTTATTTGTAATCGCCCTTAAGAATTTCACTAGTTTCCATCATCAGTCATTAGTCAATTTCCCTATTTGTCGTTATTTTTCTCTTACGTGTTTATAGAAGCTTACCTAGGGTAAACAGTTCAAATAAAACTACTCCAAACGACCACCTAAATCAATTATGTAGAATTGTTAGTAAACTTAAAAAAGTGAAAATATATGACATTTTATATAAGCAAATCATACATATCAGACTTCTCCGTGTAAACAGAATCCTTGATTGATTCAATTGCCATCCACTTCAAAGGAAGTAATCCCTATCATCAAGAGTTGTTATCATGAACTGAAGAATAATGCCAAAATGATCGCACAAAAAGCTAGTGTTTCAAATGCAAGCACTAACCGGTGTGTTCTTCGTGTAAACTTGATACTTGTAAATATCTCTTGCCAAGCCAAAGTCTCCAACTTTGGCTATGTAACCTGTACCAAGTAGAATGTTACGAGCAGCCAGGTCCCGGTGAATGATCTGTTGGTTTAACAAAACAAATTTATTTTGAAAATTCGTGCATTGAAATAAAATTCTCTCTAAACTCTTTCAGTTGAACTCTGTAGTGAAAACTTGTTTTTGTTAGTTATTTTATGTTGTCTTATTTTCAGCGGTCAGACAGTACGTTATGTACATCAAATAAATTTCAAACAAAGCGACAAAAATTTTATTTAACACCCATAGAGACGAACAAAAACTATCTTTAAACGAGTATTCGACAACTTGACTTCGATTGAGCCTTTATCTTTAAGTTTGTTAATGCTTGCAAATGAAAATCTTAAGCTTAGAATTGTACAGTTGAAGAACCCAGAAATATAAACTGGCACGTTCGTCTTTGTTCAAAAATCTCTCTCGTGATTTTGCTCATTTCTTTCTCTTCCTTTAAGCTATCGCTATTTGTCCGTTCTACTCCATCATTAACACAATATATACATACAAAGCTATCACACCTACAATACACCTCTTTGCCCAGGTGTAGGTTTATATTATTATACCTTCCTGGATATTAAGAATTCCATGCCTTGTATGATATGATACGCCCATTGAATCAGATTTTGTGGTCCAAAATCTAGTGATAAATCGTTCATCAGGTATTCCTTGTCTTGATTGTATCTGTTTCGACTGTCACGGAGAAATTGACGAAGATTTCCGTGTTCACAGAACTCCGTAATAATACACAAACTTGTTCTTTCACCTATAATTAAATAATTTAATGCAAAAATCTTTCTCAGTGGATGCACATACATGTAGGTTTCCCAAAACAGGAAACTCTCTAAGTTCTTTTCGTCACATCGTTATTCGTTGGGATATTTTTTAAGCCATTATGTGAGGGAACTTTCTCATGTGTGAACATGACTTTTCATTTTCCAATCATAATTCTTTACTTAAATTACGTAACTTCACTCCATTTAGGAAATGAACGTATATTTTTCCCATTATTGTTTAGTTCAATAATCAGCCTCAAAAGTGTGAATGGTTATTAGTGCTCAACAAATATCCCGCTTCAAAATATAAACAACCTTTTGTACAAGCTCCTAATATGTTTACAATGTTTTCATTTTCGCCAACATGAATCAATATTTTCAACTCTGACTGCAAATCAATGAGTTTGTTTCGATCACCATCATCTAAGGAAAAATCATTAAATTAAAAACTGAGACTTAGCTATCAAGGTTATTAACCTTAAATGTTGATATATGCTTACGATCATCAAAAGAAAAACCGACCTTTTTTTTGCAAAACCCAACTTGCCATATTATCTATAAAGACTGATAATATTTCAAATAATAGTTTTACTAGGTATCATATACATAAAGTCTTTAAATTGTGTATAAAATTGCCACCTAGAAAAAAGTAAACTCCTTCCGCTTGTATTCAAAAACTTATTAATTTTTATCTGTTTGCTCAATCCTATATTTTTCATTAAAACCATGCAATGAAACATAAAATTATGAATAATAATCTTAATGAAAATGTTTATAACCGCGAAACCTTTGATTTTCTTCACAGCAACTTGAGTAACTTCTCTGCTGTACACGTAACTGTTTCTTTTGACCATTCTGTTAAAAAATGAAAATCTTCTTCGACTTCCTTTTTCTCTTAGGATATCCCTTGGACGAAATGCTGAGATACCGACTGCTTCTGCAAGCCAAACCACCCCAAATTCACCAGACCCAAGTTCATTTACTGAATAAAACATCAATATTACAGAACAAAGATGTGAGTATATCACATGATAAATTTAAAAAGTTGTCGCTCATGACAACAACGCCTATTACTTTTAGTTATTGAAAACAAGACATGCTACTAAATGCAGACATAGTGTGAGATAAAATTAAGTTTAGAAATAACTTACTGAATTTTATTCTTTCTCTTGGAAACTCCCATTCTGGTATGAATGGAAGACTTTGTATTTGCTCGTGTATATCTCCATTCATATCAATCTTTTCAATGTAGTCAGGAAATGGAGGATAAGAAAGAAGATAAAGGCCACCGTAAAGTTTCTTCCTTTTGTACAATACATAAGAAGTAATGAGCAAAATGACAAGAGTGAGGACGCCTATAGGTATGACCAACATCATCATTGTTTTCTTCTATCCATTTTCTTCTTGACAAATAAAAAGTCACTTACGATGTGGTTAAATGTATCAACACTTGTTTGCGAGCAATAAAGATTTTATTTAAATTATAGGTTTTGATGCTGCTGTATAAAACTACCTTGCTCAGTACTTATACTCTTTTGTTAAAATGGTTTTCGTTCAACTGTAGGCTTTTATGAAAGTCTTGATGATTTTGCATTAATTCAACACAATTGCCTTGATATATGTATGGCAACGAAATCGTAATGAAGATCAAGTGAGACAATGTGCCGATGCACAAATTTCAATGACATACAGAAGATCGATATTAGTGAAAGTCTTACCTGTTGGTTTGGATTCTTTTGTAACTGTTATTATTGGTGATGTATCTATTTCACCGCTATTGTTGGCAGTACAGCGATACCTGCCTGCCTTCTTTACTGTTAAAGAATAGTTTGATGAAATATATTCCATCTCGTTTTTATGATCATGACAGATATAATTTTGGCACATGTACCATTTGAAGGTTACTTCTTGTAGGTCAAATTTCTTCTTCAACGTACAGTTTAGGACCGAAAATCCTTTCTTTAAAAATCTTTTTGTGTCTTTAATGTCAATTTCAGGTACAACTGAAAAAAATAGATGTAAAAACTAAAACTGATCTTTATATTATGCATGACTCAAGCTTAATCTTTGAGTATGATACATTTCAAAACAACCTAAATAGCTATGTTTTTCTGGTATTTTTTCTTTGGAATTTCGAAACCGTTATTGAATTAAAAGTTGAGCTTCTAATCTGAGTTTTGCTTGGTGCACAAGGGCGCATAATGTACAAGTGCCATTTATTTGCCTTTCGTTTGTATGCAAATGTTTTGTACGCTAAAATTTCAGTTTTATTTTCTTTGTAAATCAAACAGGACTGACCTAGTTTTTTTATTGAAATCTTCTTAATTTCATTTCCTTTTATATTGATAGCATTTATCTGATAGGTTAAACTGTCATCAGGGAATCTGACAGACTTTACTTCGAACTTGTTTCTTGTAATTTTTTCTTGTCCGTCATGATTTTTGCAGTGTTTTTCATGCGCAGAACAACTTGTTAGTGACCGATAGGTTGATCCATCATATTTCAAACGCGACCAAAAGATATCGGCAGCAGGATAAGACGTAACGTTGTAGGTAAACGTCAAATTCTTTCCTTCACCAAGTGAGAACTCGTCTGCGTCGTTTTCAATGTAAATTTTGGGTCTGGCAAGCTCTAGAGTTAAGAAGAAAAATGTGAAGAAAACATGCTTTCAAAATGTTTGAAAACGCTTTCGATATGCTTTAAAAATGTAAAGAAAACGAGAAAAATGCGAAGAACATGAAAAAATGTGAAGAACAATTACTTTTTACAAAATTGTTAATTGATTAGTGTAGATGACCAAGAGAGATTAAATGACTATTTATAACAGTGTACGATAAGCGAATTGTAAAAAAGCAACGTAGTTTGAATAAACCTCGAATTTCCCGCAAACCTAAGCTAAATGTTTATGCCTTCGACTGTTTTTTGTTTTCTCCGTCATGACATTTTACTCTTGCACTTCCATGAAAATGAAATTTTTTGGGTTATTTTCTTTATTTTTGAAGTGATATAGCGCTGTTTCTATGTTCCAGATTTCTTCTAACGAAGTGGTGACGGTCTCAATTAAAAAATGTCTTATGAAATCTTACAAACAGATTTTCGCCAATTTTATTTCATCTCACGAGGAAATGATCGTCGACAAATATGATCCATTTTCACGATGTTAAAATAGTCCTCTGGGCACTTTCCGGTATATTTAGATTATTTGATTTTTCTCTATAGGCACTGTGAAGAGGATTTGTTTCCCTTTGTGTCACTTACAAGACAAACTTTGCATAGTTAGAATAGAGTTGGGTCAGTTTGGTAGAACACATATTTCCCGTCGTCTTGAAAAATTTGTTCAAAGTGCCTATGGTGCTAGAATTCTGCAGTATAATGCTCAACATGAACATGGGTTGTGTACTAAGGCGACGGAATTTACACGTTTGTAAGAAGATTTAGTTGATGGTTCATTTAGTTCTTTTTGTTTTTAGTATATCAAATGACCTTGCTTATCAATGAAAGATTGGCTGAACTTTGATGTGGTTTCATCTTTGGCTATATTTCAACGTTCACTGTGATTTGGGCTATTTTAGAGCAGTTTGCTTTGTACTAATTCAAAAGTTGTGTTTTAAGCGTTTTATCGGAAGCCTATTCCCATACAACATATTGTTGAAATAAATCTAATAGTTTTGGAAGAAGGTGCATTCAGGTTGGACGTTTTCTCAATACTCGGATTGCAGGTGATTTATATTATCCTTAGCATTTCATGCATCTACACTTAATCTATCTTCCTCATGCATGATTTGCTTCAAGAAATCGTCGTTTCATCCTTTCAATTTTATATAGTGAGTGTGTTTAATCAGATTTCTCAACATCTTGGTTTTCTGATGAGGCTTTTTTCCAGATTTTTCTTTGTTTGCTCTTCATGATTTAGATGGTCAGGTTGACCGGTCACCGGTGTTAATTTCATCAAATTCGTCTTACGTTTTCACGAGAAGGTGAGCCAATGGGCTTATGTTCTCTCTAAGCTTGTGTTCTAGAGACAGACTGTAAGTGTTTCTAGTTGATTCTTTATCAGGCTGAATCATAACTGGTCAGCATGTAGATGGGTAATCCATTTTTGGAATTTGATTTCCGTACGTTGCTCCAAAGATACCCTTGTGCTCCTGTTTGGGATTAAGTCCAAATCTTTCTTTTCTAGCCCTTTAATACAAACGTTAGAGTTCCTAACTACTACTAAAATAACTTATGACGCTTAAGAAAATGTTGTAAGTTTAACGCTCGAAGTTTTGACTCCTTCCAATGACCCAAAATCATTACAGGCCTTGCTGAATCCCGGTTAGCCGGGATCAAGTGAACAACCCTTTAAAAGGCATAAACGCAAAAAAATCGAAGTTTTAAAGATCTCTTGTGGGCAAGCGCTTGCCCAAATTGTCTGAAAGCTTGTAAAACACAGGCCATGTTTTTACTCAGTGTGATAAAATTGTTTTTACGATGAGAATATTTCGTGCGCATGGCCTGTCTTTTAAAGACTTTATTATCTGTTGTTTCACATTTTAAAAAAAAAACATTACCAGCGGTACCAGAGAACTTTAAATTACTTAGAATAACCAAACGTCTTTGCTTATTCCAAGCGCGTCTTGTTTTAGAGAATTTTTCCTAGAGTATACGTTTTGATACACACTGAAGTTCTAAAAAAAAAGGCCACAAAAAAGCAGAAAACGGCTTTTCATTTACTTCAATGGAATTACCTTTGACTTTCAAAGAAAAGCTTCTGTATGATTTATAATTAACATACTTTCTTTCTATCAAGCATAAGTAGGTTCCTTCAGATTCTGCGGTAATATTAAACGTTATTTTACAGTTCTTTCGGTTTTTTGTTTCACATTTCTCTTTGTTTCCTCCATTCTTCTTCCAAAAAAATTTATAGCATATGGAAGAATATATGAATTGAATACCAGCAATATTGCAATCTAGCGAAACATTGTCACCAAGATCATATTCAGTTTTTTTTGGTTCTACCGTAATTGAAGGATTCGCATAGGATGGCACACCTGTAGAAAAGACAAAGGGGCCTATGAATTCCTAGACAGATCAATGTATTCAAACTCACTTGCTCATATTAATTTGTTTTCAAATCATTGAAATTGGCAATATCACATTGTAGAAATGATATAAGACTCTGCGAAAACTATTTTAAAACATGATTTTGAAACATTATAGTTTAATTTACCACGTTTCTCGGTAATGACACTCGTGTAACCAAGAAGGTATTAAATAAACAGTATCTAAAACATACAAAATACCAACTTTTTGAGGGATGACACGTATAGTTCTTTTCTCATTGCAAGCTTTGCAGATGTACTCTTTGTGGTCTTGTGTTACTTTTGTCACATTGAAGATATTTTTTACTACAATTTTAATGTTTTTGTTCTCAAAATGTAAAGGCTTCTCGTTTTCATCCAAAAGTTGAACATTAATGTCATGGTAATTAACTGTGCAATTGATAAGCACCCATTCACCAACAAGCCTGCGTAGCTGACGTAGATCTTCCGATACAACTGTAAAAGATATAATACTTTTACAAAAAGGGGCTTATTTGCATCTTCAGTTAATGAAATGCCAGCTAAATGCCCCAGCAAAACATCACTTAATAAATTCATAGAAGGAAATCAAATTGTAATTTGTAAAAATGTCAGTCATATATAATCATAAAAGTTTCACAAAGAAGAACCAAGTTTCACAAAAGAAGAACTTTAGGAACTTCATGTTATAGATTAAATTTCACTGTTGGCAATTTCGAAACATTGTTCTTCTACACTCCGAACCACCATATTACCTTTAAAACGGATTCATGCAGTATTCGTTAAAAAAATATCATGAAAGTACAGCTGTACACCAGTTGTACATTGTACTTTTTAAACGTTTTCTTTGATCATTCGCTCAAACGATGTCATCAAACTATACAACTATGTTGTTGAATGTGTTGTGCGTTTTTTGGATTTTCTATAACATTTTTATTCTGTATAATGAAAGCTGTATATGTGCAATGTATTTGTGCTATCAAATATTTTAAAAATTGGAGAATTTATGTTCTGTCGATCGTTTCCTAATTTAAGTATCTTAAAATCATGTTTTATTTTGTTGTTGCGCAACAAACCTGATTGTGTTGTACTTGTTTGGTTAGTATGAATGAACATACATCCCAAACAAAGCATGCAAACAATGTTAAAAAAAGAGTCAACAGCAGTTTTTGGAGATATTTTATCTAAGACAACAAAAAATTTTTATACACTTTAAGCTTAACAACAAACTAGCGTGTGTAAATGTGTTTTTTTTTTATAACGTAACTTGATATTTTTCCCTCGAAAATATCTTGCTGTAGCATGAGCTAATTCTGTTAGATGCAATAAAGCACAATATGAGCCAAAAAACGACACTAAATCACTTCTTTCACGTTTTTCTTCTGGAAAGAAGGTAAACAAACATCGGTCGCCGAAAAAAAGGCATTATTTCAGGGAGAAGTTTGACAAATCTTAGATGTATGTTGGCTTCAGACAAGCATAGGACAAAACTATGGGAGTTGTCGTTCTAGATATATTTTAGTTCAATGTATTGGAGTTAATGTTCCAATCTTTTAATAGAGTTCACTGGTACCTGCTATTTAAAATTCTCATCGTGCAATGTGAAGTCACTAGTTGTGTAAAAAGGTTATTACATAAACTAGAATATCTTGAGAACGATTAGTGACGCGAACAAACTGTTGTAAAAGGTACACTCTCACTTTGAAAGTTATGTTTAATGAATGTATCATTTCAATAGCACAAGTTTCACGTCATATGCCCTTTGACGAAAGGCAAAAGATGAAATGATAATTAATATGAGCTTGCTCCGTCGCCATCAAGTCAGAAAACAGAATTCAGAGTTGTTACATTGTTTATTAATAATATCAGTCTAATTTAATTTTCAAAATGTGAGCTGACGAAATGTCAAAAAATGTTATGCCAATCATATGATTTTTACCGATGTCTGTTATTCACTGGTTGCAGAATCGACGTTCTCAATATAAACGCCAGAAGAAATTTTACAGTGGTTTTCTACATTGTTCACAGCACTCTTCGCCAAATCAGTATATTTCTACATTACTGCAACGCTAAACGTTATTTTAAGGTATAATTTACGACTTGGTTTAGTCTTAGTTCCGTCATACATAATAAATGTTGTTATGAGGCTTAATTATACAGCTCTTTGTTCAGCAGTTGATTTTAAGGAACATGTTGAGAATAAAGCTAAATAAGGATAGACCTAATAAGAATATCTTATTACTTACATTTTATATTCCTTGTACAATTCTCGGGTGCACTTGCACAGCTCTCAATCAGCGCTACATATAACAGCAACACTGCTACATTGTTTTGTATCAAAGCCATCTTTGGGTTTTCTGAAATATCATGAAAAGGACGAGAAAGCTTTTTACGAACGATCTACGAATGGTTGTGATGTTAATGACACTTGGAGTGTTTAAGGAAATAGAGACCATGCGCTAAAGCCTACGTGAGTGTTGTTGCGCATTGTGCTCAACAGCTGTGCGTATCTTGGTGTTCTATGCAAAACTTTGACCAGATGATATATTTAAATAGAGTTTATACCTATAGTTTTACTGTCTACAGTTTGTAGAAAATTTAACTGACTTCTTCAGGGGCGTATGGTCTACTAAGCATAAGCTAAAACATTAAAGGATAACACGACATATTCTTATTTAACAACTTATTTGACGGAAGCACTCTGAACCAATATCAAATTTCCAACAAACAAAGATCTAAAGACTTATTATTTTGGTGAATTTGAAAGACAGTTTAAACTAACCGAAGATCAGCGTAAATGACTAAACTCCAGTCATGTTTGAATAAGACCTAAGAGCATCTCTCGGACAGCGGTTTTGGCTAATGTATAGATTGAGAATAGACATGTTATTAGAGAGCAACTTCTGCTTTCTTGTTCAAGAATACTTTTAGATGCTCAAAAGCATCTATAGAGCCATTTTAGTATGAAATTCAATTTGAACATCTTTAAGGAAAAAGTAAAACCAGCTGCATAGATATGTAAATGACTCTATATATGTAAATAACTCTATATATATCTATAATTCTTGTTAACTTCTTTATTAATCTGAAGATGTCTTGAATCAAGACGAAACGTCACTATTTTAATAAATGTCACAAAACCAAATTGTTTATGACTATGTTTAAAATTAATAGTGATTAGGAAAAACAGTTTAACAATTGCACTATTCTAATGGCAACAAACAGCAATGGTAATTGAAGTTCTTTGTAATCAGATCATGTTTATCTTCAATAATGAGTTAAATAGAGAAATATCATCGTCAAAGAAATGTCCTTGTAATTAGGTAACTTAAGGAGATGCGATTGCCAATTCAATGCCGAATAAGTAATGACTTGCAATTTGTCTTCGAGGAAAACTACTTACAATGCATGACTAATGATTTAGAACCCAATCTTCTAGATGTCTAACTATCTTGACAAGGTGAGGCAAGGACGACATCATGAAAGGTGGCAAAAAGCAAAAGTCAAAATGAAAAATTAGTTAGAACAAAGTTTAAAAAACCCATCATATTAAACATAGAAACACTGAATTTTTAAGAAATTTTAAGACTTTACAGGTAAACCAGTATTCTTCTTTTGTACCCACGCTAATAGCGTATTTGAATAAAAGCTTGGAGAACTATCAGGCTGGCAGCATATCAATTTTTTTAAGTGCATGGGAAACACTCACCTCTGATAAGGGAATCTTAGAGACAGTGTCTGGACAAAAAATTGAATTTGACACAACTCCGATATAAAGAGTCTTACCCAAGCAAAAACAGCTACCCGAGGTTGAAATTAACAATATTGATTTAGAAATTAGCAAATTACGCAAAAAAGACGTTTTGCAGATTTCTCACCCTGAATCAGGGAAATTTGTATCTCCAATTTTCACTTGCCCCCAAAAAGACGGTTCTTTTCGCATGATTCTTAATCCATAATCCTTAAACAGGCATGTCAGATATCACCATTTTAAAATGGAGTATGTTTGGTCAGCTATTAGGCTTACGAAATCAAATTGTTTCATGGCATCCATCGATCTCAAAGATGCTTACTATTCCGTACCTATTCACCCAGCATATCAAAAATTCCTCAAATTTTGGTGGAGAGGGCAACTATATAAATTTGTCTGTTTTCCTAACGGCCTAGCCATCTGCCCAAGAAAATTTGCAAAACTCCTTAAACCTGTTTTTTTGAATTTACGTCAAAAAGGACATATTTCGGTTGGCTGATACTTGGTGATACTTGGCTGACACATATGCTTCATGTGTTCGGAATATTCAAGACACCATCTTCTTATTTAGTAAAGTAAGGTTTTACGTACATCCGGATAAGTCAGTTTTAGTTCCCTCACAAGTAATTACTTTTTTGGGTTTCCGACTCAAATAAATTCTTATGCGAATATCTGTTACAACAGAACGAGCTGAGAAGATAAACGCATGTGTCATGAGCTGCTACAAGCTTTTCACCCAAAAAATGAGGGATGTTTCTCGGGTTTTGGGCACTCTTACTTCGAGTCTCCCAGGCGTAATGTACGGTCAGTTGCATTATCGCTGGCTGGAAATGGATGAAAGCGATGCCCTTAAGTTAAACCGGGTAATTTTGACAAGACAATGACCCTGTCTTCAGCGGCCAATTCTTTCAAGAAACTATTATATAAACGAAAGTTATTACAATAAATACCTGTACTGGGGATAACCACTACTGGATTCAGAAAGATGAACCTGCCAATGTCGACTATCGACGATTTTCTATTACTTTGTTTTATGTACACGTCCCACACTGCAACTTGTATACAACCAAATGATGACAATATCTAATTTGCAATACTTTAAAAAACGATCGGGTTAACGCAGCATGTACCAATATTGACCTCATTTCATGTCGAAACGTCAGCATGTCAGTGCTAGCCCACGTAGCCATTTAGTTTGTTTGACACATACTCTCTGTAGCGTTGTTATTATAAAATAAAACACAATCCGAGAAAGGATCATTTTCATTTTGTCTGATGATGGTTTTGAAATAAAAATTTGTATTAAAGGACAATTTTCTTTGTAGCATCATTTCAGTTCATATTTTTAATCAGTTTTTATGCAATTCCACTGGTAAAGGGAAAAGTCGTAGTTGAATCCGACGTTGAATCGTAATATCATAACGAGTAGCTCAAAAAATTCACCTTCCTTGTCGACAAAAAACGTATTTTTTCAGTGTTTTCTCAATCTTTTTTTGTCATTAAAATCATGAAACAAAAAATAATGCTACTTACATGAGCATAAAACGTATAAAATATGAATAATTAAATATGTTAATAAATACATTATTGCAGCTAAACCTTTGGTTTTCTTAACTGCAACTTTAATAATGTCTCTGTGTAATTTCTTTTAAAAGACGAAAACCTTCTTTGATTTTCTTTGTCTCTCAGGATGTCTCTTGGATGAAATGACGAGATACCAACTACCTCTGCAAGCCAAACTACCTCAAATTCACCAGACCCAGGTTTATTTACTACATAAAACATCAATGTTATCAACAAATTTATCATTTAGTCAAGAAAAGTTAAATACCTACGTTTTTAGCTTAAGGCAATCTCCATTACTTAAAGCTGTAGAGAAAAATATAAAATATTCAGTAAGTAATCCCATGGATACATTTCTCTCATCAATTTTTTTTTATTCACCGCAATCGTCCGGTTCAAATGCAGGATAATTTTTGGTAAGAACTCAAATTTTACAAGCCTTGTAAATTAATGCAGACAAGGCTTGTAAAATTTGAGTTCTTACCAAAAATTATCCTGCATTTGAACCGGACGATTGCGGTGAATAAAAAAAAATTGATGAGAGAAATGTATCCATGGGATTACTTACTGAATTTTATTCTTTCTCTAGGAAACTCCCACTCATGTAAAAATGGAAGCTTTTGTATTTGTTCGTGTATGTCTCCATTCATATCAATCTTTCTAATGTAGTCAGGCAATGGAGGATAAAAAGAAGATAAAAACCACCGTGAATATTTTTCCTATTGTAAAATACATAAGATTTGATCGCCAAAATGACGAGTGTGAGGACGCCAGTAGATATGACAAATATCAACATTCGTCGACTGTTGTATATTGGCAATGTTTACTACATAAATAGAAAAAATACTTTATGGCTGAGTCACGTGTATGAATCATTCATTTCGAGAGTACTGAAGTTTTGTAAAAAAATAGTTTTTGATGCTGTTGAAGAGTTGCAACTTTTATCTTGCCAATCATACTGCTTATAGACAAATTCAACGACCTAAAAATATAATCTGCAAGCTGTCAACAAAACGCAAGATTGATATATAAGATAAATTTCATGATCATCGGGGGTTCTGGTAAATATAAGCATAAGTACGTTAATACATGCTTTTATTTAAGCGATTTTTGCATTTAGCTTCTTTAGTAAAGATAAAACAACAACAATATATTTTTGCCATGATTGATGTAAGATGATATCTAATTTTATACATAAAAATTATAAATATGGTGATAGAATGTAGGTTGGAGTGCAATTAGGTATTGGTGATCAGTTGTGACAGATGAAAAGCTTAGATTGTAGATTTTTTAATATGGTATGTTGCGATTTGCTTATTCTTTGTCAGTAAAACACAATCATTAAAAAGTCATAGTGCAGATTATATTGTTGGACGACCTCAAATTCTGCGACATTGATAAAGAAGACTTGCCTGTGTGATTGTTGTTTTGACAACATTAGTTTTGTTGACATATCCCTGACGACGTTTATTGTTGGCGATATAGCTGTTCCACCTGTATTGCATGCACTGCAGCGGTACCTGCCCTCATTTTGTACTTTTAAAGAATAGTTGAATGAAATGTATTTCCAATGTTTGTCGTCGTAGCAGGTATCAGATATGCAGATGAACCATTTGAAGGTTACTTCTTTTGGGTAATGTCTCTGGTTTAATGTACATTTCAACACCGAAAATCCTTTCTTCAAAACTATATTTTCGTTTCAAATTTCAATGCTAGGCTTAACTAAAAATTTAAAAAACTGAATATAAAAAACTAAAACACACCTTAAAATTTTAATTTCATTTACCTCAAATACTTTTTCGAACAGGACTAACCGAGAATTTGTATTGAAATATTCTTGATCTCATATCCTTTCATATTGCTTACATTGATCTTGTAGGTTATATTATCATCAGGGAATCTGACAGACTTTACTTCAAATTTGTTTCTTGTAATTTTTTTTCCGTCATGATATTTGCAATGTTTCTCAGCCGCAGAACAACTTGTTATAATCTGCTCGTTGGATCCATCATGTTTTAAACGCCACCAAAAGATGTCGGCAGCAGGATAAGACGTTACGTTGTAGAAACGTCAAATTCTTTCCTTCATCAAATGAGAACACCTCTGTG